ATCTTGACGTCCACCTCCGTCGCATCCGGTGGTTCTATGGCATCCCAAATTCCTTGGGCATCCATAAACGACTGCATCTTGATAGCCCAAGATGTATAATTTGTTGTAGTGAGTACAGGACATTGGTACGTTGTCGAGCCTCCATCTCGAACTGGGGTAACAGCAACAACATCGTTTGTTTTCTTAGTATTGATGGCCTCCATCACAGACTATTGTTTTTCAGGCGTATTGCAAGACAACTACTGATCACAGATCTGTGTTTGATTTTTTCTTAACCAGGGCTCTGATACCAATTGAGAGAAATAATGACAGATCTAAAGTATAGAAACAGTGTGTTTTTATTGTGGAACTGCTGTCCAGAACAATGTGCCCATACATATAAATAGAGGACTAAACAACACAACCATTACAAATAGACACAACAGTTTCTAACCAACACATCTGTTGGAAACTGTCATAAAACTGTCTGTAACTAGTAACTGCCTAACTGCCTGACTGTCTACCTTTTTTTTTTTTACTTATTTATTTTTAAGCCTATCGGCCAAATTTACTCTAAGTCTCCAATATGTAATTTGGAATAATCCTGGATCTTTTACCTGTAAAAGGGATGTTCTTTCCTTCCGTGAAGATCTAACGCACGAGGAATCAGAGTTGAATCATCCGTAGTTTCCTTGCAGGTTTTCTTTCCTTGTAAAATCGATTCCCAGTCCTCGCGAGAGAGCAGAAGAATCGGTTCTGGGATCCAGGACGGAGGTAGCGGTTTCCTCTCTTGAGCAGCCGCGTGGACACATGACGTGTAATCAAATTAGAGCCCTTAAGCTGCCACATGTCAAAATTCTAAGCAATCAACTCTCAAATTTTATATTAAAGGATTAAAGAAGAATATGAATTGAATATCCATGATACAATGAAGGAGGAATAAGAATTAAATATGAATTTAAGAAACAAACCAATCTACAAACATGATGACTTCAAAACATTTAGTTTACCTTAACCTTGAAAGGATACGTCTTGCGAAGCAGGGGTTCGTCAAGCTCTTTTTGATTGCCAAAACTTCCATGGTGAGATTTGAAAAAAAATACATGAGTATACAAATAAGACAAACAATGTATTCAAAATAAAAGAGGCCTAGCCATGTCAAGGGTTTAAACAATTTTCTTTTAACTGGATTTTTTTTATTCCAAATGAAATATGTAGTGGCAAATTGGGATATTGGCGGTCTCAAAGAATGCAAATGACTAATAATGATACCAATGTCAACTAATCACTTGAGTATATGGATTGTCACTCTGTGTCACTTCACTGTTGTGATAATGCAATTATCAATATGATCACAGTTAGTATTGTAATGTGATCTGCAAACCAGTTGCCAAATTGGCAGATAGAATGTTTTTTTTTAAAATATGTTGACCAAGGAAAAAGTTACAGATTTGTCACAATCAAATTAAAGCATAGACTGCCTAATGATCAAAATAATAATAAAACAATATAACTTTAGGACTATATTTTTTCTACTTTAACCGTCTTTATCTTGTATATGTTAAAACCCAGCAGCAAATTATTAAATGAAAAACTAAATGCTCATCTCATAAATTAAGGAGTAAATTACTTTTTGCAGAACACACACCTCCTCAAACATGAAGTTCTTGGCAGCACTATGTAAATGTACTTACAATTTCCTCAAGCATGTTTGGATTGAGTGGAGAGGTACGGACTGTAGTATTTACTCCATATATAACAAATTACTAACAAAGAGGGGTTTAAAATTGAACTCTAAATTAAGCAGATTTATACCTCAAGTCTTCTTGATTTCAACTTGAGATTGTATGTCTTCTGATTGTTGTAGTAAGCCATTAATCTGCAATTGTAAATTTAATTTAAAATGAGAGTGATCAGAGATTTGATAAAAATAGAAAATAATAAAATACTCCATATACAACAAAATAAATAATACTCTCCTTGCCCTAGTGTTTATAAGACATGAAAAGTAACACATATAAAAAATAAAAAGATTGTGTGATGATATTGATGTTATAAAATAAGATCTTAAATAATATAAAAATGAGCATAAACTACATGGCCAAATAGGGTATAAGACTAAAATAGAAACTTATATGATAGTGCCTATTAATTTAAAAAACTTTAAATTCAAAGAAATTATATGATGAATTTTCAAAACTAACCACCATCATTTGTATGCACTTTATCAACTCATCCACATTCGACTTCAATTCCTTATTATTTTGCTCCTAAAACATAAATCTATCAAATTTCAAACCATAAAAAACATGTAAATCATACTTTGAGATTGAGAAGTGTGTTTGAGCTTTCACTGACTCATTATTATACTTGATCAAAGTTTTTATCAATTCATGTATTTACAAATTTAAAAATAGAAAAATCTAAAAAAAGTTATACAGAATCAAAGAGTCATGGGTATGTCAGGATAAAAGCAAATGAATCAAACTCATGTGAATTCCTTAGAAAAAAATTACAGCATAAATTAAAGGAATCAAATTAGAATTGTCAGATGAAAGTTTACAGACTCATAATTCTGAACTCTATGGCACTGATCGGAGAAGGAACTAAGGAAAAGAACCTGACTTGCGCAGAAGGAGACGAAGGTGACCGATCGAAGAATTTTCTCTTGAACTTTTTAGCGACAGTAGAAGGAAAAGAATGTGTGCACTGATATTCCTTGCCTTTTTTTAATCGGAGAATACGATAAGCCATGGATCTGATTGGCCAGATCGGCATCTAATTGTAGAGCAATCGACAAAATCTTTGAAACTTTCCTTTGGCGAAGCAGAGACTGTTGATTCCTTTCCTTAGGTGAAAATTAATCGGAAAATCAGTGTATTTTTGGAGATTAATCAGGGATGAAGATCTGGTGGAGATTTAGCCCTGCGAAGAGCCGAAGAAGCGGAAGACGTAATTGATTTTGTTTCAGAAAGTCTTCCGTTGTAGGAGCCATAAGCAGAAGACGCGTGGAATCTGAGCTGTCATTAAAATAAAACTCTTAAAGTGACACGTGTCAAAATTCTAGGCTATCAACTCTCAAATATTATATTAAAGGATTAAGCCTTGAAAACAACTTGATTCCTATTCTTTTCTCTTGAAGAAGAAAGCTCCAGCTGCACGTGAAACACATTCAATAACTAACTTCAATAGGTAGATAATCAATTAACCAACTCTAACCACTTACATTAAAAATGTTTGCTTGGCTGATTAAAGGTGCCGAGATGAGAGCTTATTTCTTTATATGCCTGGCTCTGATTTTCATTATAGAAAGCAATCAATATCAGTAGTATACGAAACATATCATTTTAGAGGTATATTCCAATATCCAAATGAAATAACATGAATATTTTGTACTTCAGGCTTAGGGATTCAACCCATACCTGCAGTTGGTTTTTTAGGCTTCACTTTAGGAGTGTCTTTAACCAGCAAAGTCTCAAGATTTATGCTGTCGGGAAGTATGTTGTTTCCCCTCACACTCGGGTGATCCATAGTCACAGAGTTCTTTCCCTTTGGCGTCAGCTTTACTGTCTTCAAGTGTGTATTCATACTGACATCAACCCATGTAAAGCACAAAATGAAGTAGAAATAATTGTCAAAGTGGATTACACAAAAAAGATTACATCATCCTTGTTTAGTCATATTCAAACACACATTTAACAGTGAAGGTTGCATTACAGTCCTTTTCTTTCTCGTTCTATAGGATGAATACATTAAAAAAATCACAAACATTTACATTTTGTACTGCCAAACTTCCACCTACCTGCCATATGGAGGTTACAAGCACATATTCAAGACAAAGAATAGCACAAACATTTACATTTTGTACTCCATTATTACAAATTATAGTTTTTTTTCTTTCTAGAATCCTTTTGACAAACTTATTCCAACCAAAGAATTTAGTTTTCAAAAAAATATTCAATCATGTCATCCAAATAAGTCTTACCAAATATGAGCTAGATTGATGAAATTGACCAAGAAACTTGTGAACAAGTAGAGTATATGATTTGGTTGGACAGTCACAAAGACAAACATCTTCTCCCACACCCATCCATTCAATATTGGGGCTCAACAATCAACACTACACTGCTTTCGACTCACTTATGCAGATTAAATAGACCACAAAAACTACCAAAACAAGGGTAATAGAAATATATGCCCTAAGCCCCTAACACATTACTTGAACAATTAAAATAGTTTCATTCACATAATTGAACCCAATTAGAACAATATAAAAGTGGATATTCAAGAAAAATAAAAACCTTGAAATTGGAGGCGGAGGAGACTGGGCTGGCGAAGGCAGCGTAGGTTGGCGATGGGGGCTGGGCTCGGGGACGGAGACCACTCGGCGATCTGGACTTGGCGTAGGTTGGCGATGGTGGCTGGACTCGGTCGGTGTAGGTTGGCGATGGTGGCTGGACTCGGTCGGTGTAGGTTGGCGATGATGCAGATCGGAAGACCACTGCGGGCACGAGGTATGTGGATGGCGATGAAGATAGGAACGTCGAGGATCGAGTGAATGGACCACACATTATTTTCCTTTATCTTTATTTTCCATGGGAAATATTACTTTTTTTCATAATTTTTTGTTGTTGTATACTTAGAGATGGACAATTCCGCCTCTATTGTGTTTGATAATAGTGGAGGAGTCTTCCGCCTCTAATTTATTTTTTTAAAATGGATTTTTAATTCTACCGCTATTTTTAATTTAAATTTAATTCCCATTTATCTAATTGAAATTTATTTGAATTAGTTATGGAATTAGCGGCAAAAATATCACCCGCTAATGAAAATTTTGAAATAGAGGGTGAATAGTCCCCCTCTATTCTGCATCTAATTAGAGGCGGAAAAATCCCCCACTATTATTCTGCAGCTTATACGCGAGATTCTAGTAGTGGATGTCAAATTTAGAATACCAGGCAAACATAATTCTCTTCTCAACCATGTTACACTTAGTGACTTACACCAAAGAATATACTCCAAAATTACACCAAATATTAACATTTTGATGGTTTACATTAGAACAAAATGTAGTGTAATATAAAAAAATTATACTAACATTTTGTGTCTGTATGAACTATTAGCCTAGAGTGCTGCTTTGGTGCAACTTGGGTGTTTATCAACTTTGTAGACATTTTCATATAAAAAATTCTTTTTTTATTTTTTTATTTGAAAAAAAAATACTTATTTAAATAGTAAAAAAAATGTCTATTTTGCTCATATGTAGGTCTATGATGGACCTTAGATCTACTATAGAATTTTCCATCAACCTAATATCACATTGACGCGAAATGAAGGTGCACACCTATGGTGTATAATTTGGAATACAAATATTTGCTGGTGGGCGTTGCACAATTGGCAAGGCAAGGGATGTCAAAGTGTAAAATCCGAGTTTGATTCTAGGAGACAACTATGGTAGTAAGCATAGACAACTTTTGTCCGTTGTCATGTCGTCCCAATACATACACTCAATTTGAAATTCAAATCCATAAATTGAACCCGCCCATAGCTCCCCTCCGCCTCTCTTCATTCACCCGCTACAGTTAACTCTTCTTCTCCATCTCCCCATTTCCAGAACCCCCCCAAAAACACAGAAGAAAACAAGGAATCGCAAAAATGGTGGTTCCGAAGAAGGCGGCGTTCGCGTACGAGGAAAGCCGGCTGAAGCGGCTGCAAGAGAACAAAAGGAGGATGGAGGAGCTCAACCTCAACAAGCTCGCCCAATCTCTCCGCCCCTCCCCCAAACCCTCCCCTGTATTTCTCCATTTCTCCTCTCTATTTCTGTTTTCTTCTTCAAATTCATTTCGTTAAATGTTGCGATTTCCGTTCAGATGAAGAAGACGAAGGCTAAGGTGCAGCTGGATCTGATTCCGGTGAGGAGATCGAGCCGCGTCTCCGATAAGCCCGCTCCTAATTACAAAGAGGTCAGTTTTCTGCAATTAATTATTGGTTTTTATTTTCCCGTTAATTTTGTTTGTTTATGTTCTTATTCTCGATGCGTAAATATTGTTAGCAGATTGGGTTTGAATCTCTGGGGATTGCAAGGAGAAGGTAGTTTCCTCCATGATCTTGTTACTGTTTTATTGGTTTTTTTGTAACTCAACCAAAAGTGTAAGCTTGCGGCTGTAAGCTCAAGAATTGTTTTTTTATATTCTAACAAATTTTCTTCTGGTTTGTAGTTTGATTAATACAATTTTTTTTTCCTCTCTACTTCTTCAACTTGAGTTCTTGTAGTTACGTAAGAAGAGATCTGTTGAATCGGGTCTATGCATCTGATGGAGATAGAATGGATGCCTTAGAAAGAGCTGAAGCTTTAGAACAAGGATTGGACAAGGAGTTCCCAAGCTTTGTCAAGCCCATGCTTCAGTCTCATGTAACTGGTGGTTTTTGGCTGGTAAATACTCTATAACCAAAGATATGTTATTTGATCTGTTAATATGTCTTGAATCTGTATTGTGTTGTTGTTTTGGGCTCTAATTATTGTATTGGGCCTAGCCCGTTTTGTGTGTCTATTTATATAGAGGTAGGACACAAGAATTCTGTACTCTGAAACCTCTGTCATAATAGAATCTGCCTTCGTTCTTGCTTGTGGACGTAACCAACACAATGATGGTGAACCACGTTAAATATGTGTCTTTACGTTTCTGTTTACTTTGATTACCCAATTACTCTATTCCGTAATAACATGATCATAGTGACCAAAATACAAGAATCAACTCACTTTATTAGTACGAGATTTTTTGGAAGATGCCCAAGAATAAATATGCTAGATCTTGACCTAAAGTAGACAGTATCATACTAATGTGAAGGGTGAAAAAAGGGAGATTTGTATTTATTGTGAATTGTTGTAATATAGGGACTTCCAGTTCAGTTTTGCAAAGCTCACCTGCCAAGACATGATGAGATGATCACTCTGGTGGACGAGAACGGGGAAGAAAGCGTCACGAAATACTTGTCGTTGAAGACAGGGCTGAGCGGGGGCTGGAGGGGCTTTGCCCTGATGCATGATCTTGTTGATGGGGATGCTCTGGTTTTTCAGCTGGTTCAGCCAACCACATTCAAGGTCACATCTACCAAACAAAACCTTCTCTGTGCTAATGTTGTTTTCTTCAACTCTTTCTCTATGATTGTTACGTACTCTCTTCGTTCGTCTCTGGGTATTTGTCCACTTTTAACTTAAAATTGGCAAATTTTGACCACCTGTGCTAGATGAGTGGTGAGAACAATGCTAATGTGTTGTTTGGAATTCAGAGGGCTTATTGATAAATTTTCTATTATTTGTTAACCTTCCATTCCCTGGTGGAGCCAAAGATTCACTATTTTTTGGCTTTGGGGTATGACGGAATAAAGCAAATTGGCTCTTTAAACTGTTTGGCAATTGTGAAGTAGCAGTTAGTCAATGCAACTTTCGACGCTTATCATGGGTCATCTGCAAACAACCGCTCTATGTTTTAACTGCAATTATTTTTATAAAAAAAAAAAAAGTGGCCAAGTAAATTTGAGTAGGGAATATTTATTTATTTATTTATTTATTTATTTATTTATTTATTTATTTATTTACTTGGTGTCTTTCAAAGTCCAGGTTTACATCATAAGGGTGAATGAAGCAGCAGAAGAAGAAAATGGGAGAGAGTGAGTAGGGCACTAAGCAGCAGTGGAGAGATCACTTTGTAGGAACCACTACTAGTAGTTTAAATATTTATATTAGGGGTGCATATCTTATGGCCCTACTTTTAATGGCCCATTTTGACAACCCAACTCCAAAGCCAACCCAGTGGCCCATTTGTCCAGTTTGAATTAGCCAGTCAATGTTTACCCCAGTGGACGTGTGCCTTGTGAGGCTTTGCTGGTTGCTACTCCTTCTATCTCAAGTAAAAGGGCATGTTTGTTACAGAGTATTTATTTAATAATATATTCAAGATGTTTAATGTTTCGTAAAAATTTTAATGTAATTTTTAAATGTATAAACTTTAATTTTTAATTACACTTGAGTTCTTAAATAGTTCTAGTTAATTATGAGTATAATTTGTGTTGAGCATTAGAGCACACGGTATACCTATCACGCCCATAGGCGTGATCCTCACTTTGACGCCTGGGGGGGCGTTAAACACCGCCCCCCTCCCTCATTATCGGGGCGTTAAAACCCCCGCGTCATTCTTTTGACGCAATTTGAGGCTGATCACGCCTCTTTCTTCTTTTTTTCTCTTTCTTTTTTCCTCTTTTCTTCTCTATAAATTAAATTAAATTTTTTTAAAAAAATTCAGCACAAATACAAATTTCTCTCTATCTATCATTTTTTTTTAAAAAAAATTATTATTCAAGTATTTTATTTATTTTTTCATGAATGTAATTTTTTATTTAATGAATGTAATGTTTTTATTTAATTAATGTAGTTTTTTTATAATGAATGAAATTTTTTTATTTAATGAATGTAATTTTCTTTATTTAAAATCATGGAAACTGACATTTCTACGTTGTCGGGTTTCAAACAGATGATATACGAGCAAAGACAAAGAGAGATCAAGGCGAAATATAATTTACCTTAGTTTTTTTAATTAATATATCTTTTTTAATATTGTCGTTTTTTTATTTTAATGAATGTATTTTCTTTGTATTCGTGTTTCAATATTATTAAATACTCCGTAATAAATTAATTTAAATTTATTAATTTAAATTTAGAAAATGTATATTTAAAAATGTAAAAAATAAAGGTTTGAAGTCCCAGTTTGAAGCCCCGGGGCTTCAAACCCATTTCCAGTGAATTTTTGGTGTAAGTTAAAGCTGACGTGGCAGAGAGAGAGAGTTTGAAGCCCCGGGGCTTCAAACGTATTTCCAGTGCTCTTATAAGTTCAAACAGAGATTTTAGTATTGGATGAAGGGAATATATCTAAATCCAACTCAAAATATTCAGCATTACCCATGTCTTTGAGTATTTATTCAGTTTTAATTTTATTAATCAACAATTTTTTAATTTGACTTGTAAATAAAATATAGTTTTGGTATTGTACATGACTATCTTTGGAAATATAAATACCTTTTAACTCTTATTTTGGGAATAAAAAATGAAAGTCCTATTTTAATATATTTTTAATTTTTTACTCCTTCAAACTATTGAGCTAGTGTCACTTTTTTTGTGAAACTAAATAAAATTTAATCATTAGTTACATTACATTTATATCATATTTTTAAAAAAAAAACTAAAATTTTATCGCAAGATAAATATAATGATATCATTTTTATACTAATATACAATATACTCCATAATTTTTATTTGGTGCAAAAAAGTATAAAACTTAGGGTCAAACAATGGTGGATCCATGATTTAGGGGGTGTTTGTTTTTCTGCCAGAAGACCTTCTGGCATCTTTTGTCTGCGCCGCGCAGACGCGCGCAGATGATGGGCTCTGCAGATTGTTTGTTTTTTGGAAGACATTTCACTCAAAAAGGTCTTCCTGGCATCTTCTTGGAGAAGACATTAACCAATGTCTTCTAACATCTTCTAACATCTTCTCCTTTTTTTCTACTTCTCTTCACCACCACAACCGTCCACCGCCACCGTCCACCACTACCACCATCCACCATCACCGTCACCGTCCATCACCATCGTCGTCCACCACCACCGCCACCATCCACCGCCACCACCACCGCCGTCAACGTCCACCACCACCCTTCACCACCACCCTCCACAACCACCACAATCGTCCATACACCACCACCGTACACTACTACTATTAATTTATATAGCAATGTACAGACTTTAAAAAACAAACAGTCTTCTTCTTGCAGATCGCAGACCTTCGGTCCACCACTTCTCCTGCAGATGTCTACAGTAGTGGTCCGCAGACTGCAGACCTTTTCCCGCAGAAAAAACAAACACCCCCTTAGAGAGAATATGGCAAGAGTAGTACGGATGGTCGAGGGTAGCGCCTATGATATTTTTTATATCAATGTAAAATTATAAATTTTTTTATATCTCAATCTATTAATTTTATATGTTTCACATTCAAATTCTTTTATTATGAGTTCCAATAATTCGTTTTTTTCCTTGTTTATTTCTTTCATTGGGGGCAAATTATTTTTTCATTGATGGTGATATTGATTTAAGGATAATTTTAAGAGAAATTTACCTAGATAGGACTAAAACATAATGACTTTTCCATTATAGGACCATATGTTTTTATTTTCCAATGTAGGACCTTTGGTCATTATGAAGTAGTTATTATTTAAGTAAATGTCCATCATTACTAGACATTATTCCTCTCACTAGGTCATTATTAAGTCCTATTTAGTGAATAAAAAAGTTTAAGTCCTACATTAGAAAAATCATTATGTTTTAATCCTATTTAGTACAAATTTCACTAATTTTAATGTAATAATTAACACCACGATTCTTTTGACCATAAAAAAAATCACCTGAGAATGTTTCAGGCATTTATGATATTTAATTGGTAATATTGATGGTTCCTACCATCCTAACCCCCCACTATAATGCCTCTCCCTCCCTCCTCTCTCCCCTAGTAGTGTAGTATATTCCAATTTTTTTCAGATTCTTCTGTTCAATTCGTTACAATTTCTTCCAACTTCGAGCTTTTCTTTTATTAAGAAACTATTCATTCTGATTTGGCAATGATTCGAATCAACTAAAATGCGGTCAAAGCACCCAATTAGAGCATCCACAATGGTAATACCTCTCATTAGATGATTAACTGTGGGCCCTACTTTAAAAATATTATTGTGGCATCTCTTTGAACATCTAAATGTTTTAATGGTGACACCTCGTTGAGATGCCTTAGGCGAATCCTACTCACATACAGAAATTATTATTATTATTTTTTTTAATTTTAAATTTTTATATTATATATAGGAGTGTTAAATATGGAGTAATAAATTTTTAATTAAATTGATTTTTTTGGAAAAAATAATATAAATAATTAAAATATTATTAATGACTTTTTTTGCTAAATATTTTGATTAAAAAAATTAAAGACATGTTGGTATTACTAAAAACAAAATAGGGTGTCATATTTTTATAGAGTATTTATTTATTCAATTTTTTGTGGAGATCAAACTCAATCAAAAGAAACACAACTTCAAACAGATTTTTCATGGTATCACTACAAGTTAAAAAAGTGAAAAGAAAAAAATTGCGAAAATGGTTTGTTTAAAAAATTGTAAAGATTCTTTTCCAAAAAAAAAGAGACACAATAATGGTATAGAATTGTAGCATCACTGAACGTTAAAGAAATAAAAAGAAAAAAATATTGAAAAGAGAATGTATTATGAAGCTGATTAGTATAAGGATATTTATAAGATTATAATATGCTTCAGGCCAATTCAAGCCCGTTACTATACCTCCAAGTGCCACCGCTCCATACATATAACCGATCAACGATGATACAGTCAATGCTCGTGCCCCCTCGGTAAACCGTCCACCCGTCCTGACCCGAACACCCCCCACCCATTTCAATTGCACCCCACAAGTTGATGTTGATTTTAGAGTTAAATTTTGACTCCATAGTCAATATCAATTTGTGGGGTGCAATTGAAATGAGTGGGGAAAATGTTCAGGTCAAGGCGGAGTTGGAGGGTTTACCGAGGGAGTTAGAGAGAGTAGGAATCGTCAATTTTATGAACGGGAACCGAAGCCCTCCCGAGTCATCCCATGACAAAGGGTTCCAATGTCATGTGATATTTCACAACCCAAATTCAATTTCCTCTCTTTTTATGTTTACCACCAAATAAGGATGACCTAGAGTACACATGTTTTCTCTCCACACCATTCTTGGTGTGATTTTACAACTGATCAACTTGTAATTCGATCTTCAAGAAGAGGCTAGGCTAGAATTGATGGATGGAGATGTTTATGGGATCTGGTGCCCGGCTAAAGCTAAAATATTTGTACTCCTTGGAGTGTGCTACGAGAGAGAGAAGAGTACGTAGTAGCAGTAGGAGTAGTAGTACATAAATATTTGTGTGTGTGGGCATTTATGAAGGCAAAGTCATTCCACAACTAACAAAATTGAATAGAATTGAATAGAAACCACACCCCATGAATAATTTGTTTATACATCATCTCACGGAACTTTCAATGCTTACACCTACTGCTCCCCCCCCCCCTCCTAAATATGTTAATGAATACTTCCTAGTATGTGTTTTTTTTACTTAGGTGTTCAAAAATAAATTTGTAAAACCTGTTTTTGTCCTGAATCCCGATAGATATTTATAAGATTATAATATGCTTCAGGCCAATTCAAGCCCGTTACTATACCTCCAAGTGCCACCGCTCCATACATATAACCGATCAACGATGATACAGTCAATGCTCAAAAGTTTGGTCTCTTTGGAGGATGGGGGACTGAGGAAAGACTGCTACGTAGCATTTCTATGCATTAAATGAACTCAATGTACATTCATGATTGTGAAGCTGATTAGTATAAGGATTGGATTGAAGTCAGTGAACTCATTGTTTGTTCAACTGGAGTCTGGAGTATCAATGTATCAATGTCGGACTTTCGTTTTCTACTTAGTGTACTTTGCATATAATGTTTTGAAACCTTGTTTATTGTAATAAGAATTTCTCTTTTTGCTCTCATGAGTGCTTATTAGCTTCACGTTTATATCTTGAAAATCAGTAGTTTTTCATTCATGGTCAACCCGGTCAAATATACTCCAATATAGGCTTTTTCCACAAGCACATATGTATAACAGGTAGTTAATATCTTCATCTGCATTGTTAAAAAAAGAAAAAGAAAGAATGCACACATAATTTTGAGTAATTTACCAACATATGTACCAAAAAAAATATCCATTCCTGGCAGTGTAAGTCAGACTTTTTTTTCCTGGCAGTGCAGGACGGATTAGGCTAATCCGTTTCAATTTGAAAATTTTAAATGAAACGGATTAGCCAAATCCGTTTTAGGTTTTTAATTTATCAAATGGAGTAGCGTACTGCGTTTTGCCATATTAAAAAAAACCCAAACGGAGTAGGCAAATCCGTTTCATATGAAATTAAAGCCAGACGGATTAGCCTACTCCGTCTCTCTATTCGGATAACCCCAACCCCCTTCCCCTTCCGTCCACTCATTCGCCATCCCCTTCCGTCCACTCAACCGCCGACCGACGAGAGAGCTCGCCACCACCAAGCGCCGACCGACGACAGAAGGGGACTGCCGACCGACGAGAGAGCTCGCCACCACCAAGCGCCGACCGACGGAAATCCGACCAGGACAATTCGGATTAGCCTAATCCGTTTCATGGAGGTATTTTTTTATTTTTTAGTTAATTTATATATATATTTATCATTTTATGATAATATTTAGATTTATTATATATATATATATATATATATATATATATATAGTAGACCAAAATGAATAAACACTCTTCATATATCATTTGCATGAAAGATAAGTTGAAAAGGCACTTCAGATACAAAACATTCCAAGTGCCATAACAGAACAAGCAAAAGAACATTTCTAACTTGTCAAATCAAAAGCCGGAAGCAATCCTTCCCTTTTGGCCATCTCATATAGGGCAATAGCACTTAGAGTTTTCGCATCGGCAGTGGCACGCCACAGTCTATCATACGGAACTAAATGCACCTTGATTAGCTCGCCGTGATCTCGAAGACCCGTTTCTTTCCCATGTAAATTCCTCATTTCCTCTTTGCTCATCTTTCCTCTGTACAGAAACAGACTAATCTCTTCATCACAGCCACCAGGGGAAGGGAAGACTCTGCCGCCAGTGGACGGGTCGAGAAGGGCTGTAAGGTCAATCATGTCCCTCACATTCAACTTTATTCCAGTCTCTTCTTCAACCTCTCGAACTGCGGTTCCCCCAAAGTCACCATTGTCTTCATCTAGCATCCCAGCTGGTAATTCAAGAATTAGCCTCCCAACTGGGACCCTGACCTGCTCGGTTAGCACAGCATATCGCACACCCTCAGACTCCAAAATGATTAGCACTGCAACAGCCGGTCCTCGTGCAAATACAATACCAGGAACTGCTAGTCCAGTCTCCTTATCGATGACATCCGCTTTGAACTTGAGAAACCCAACACGCTTGCCAAACATGTCTACCCCCTGAATCAGAATTTGTGTCAAAGACATTGATCCATTAGCCAGCAACCCTGTTTCTGTCTGTATGTTTTCCAGCCACTTCTTGAATAAAGAGGATTCAATGGCATTCTTGAATAGGGTATCGGAGAGGCCCGGAGCAGCGGCGACGGAGACTGGCCGATCGACTTGTGTCGGGAGATTTAGAGTGTGGATGGGCTGGGCGGGAGAATCTGCAGCCATTTTCGCCGAGAAACTTCTGGCAGTGCTGTGGGTCGGAGCGAATTTCTTCAGCCGCATATATATATATATATATATATATATATATATATAAAATTGTAAAAATTATTTAGAATTACCAATTTGGGTGAATTTGTTTATTATAATTGATATATATTATTAGTTTGTATTTGCCTAGTTGTGTTCTTGTATTAAATCAATAAATTCTTATGTTGTAATGTTTGAATGAAATGCGTTGTTATTAAATGAATAACTTGTTATTCTGTAATCATTGAAGCAAATGGATGTTCATCCGGGACCTATTTCACGAGACGTTTTAGTTCTTGAAGGCGGAGTACATAGGTGTGATGCGGTATGGGCGGACGAAGAATATGCAAAAAAAAGAGTCTAAAGTGCCATAGGACTTGTTCTAGTATATATCCGAGGACTCTAGTTGCTAATAGACCACCTCGTGTTATAGAGATCTTAAAAGATTATGGATTTTATGGGGTGGAGAAAGTGGATGGATTACAGTTAGATTGGGCTCTGATTACTTCTTTAGTGGAGAGATGGAGACCCGAGACACATTCATTCCATCTTCCATTTGGAAAGGTGGGAATTACGCTACAAGATTTTGAGGTTTTACTTGGATTGCCCGTAGATGGCATTCCATTGTCGGGGGCACTAGTCGATCAAGAGATCAGTGGATTCAGATTTGTGATGACATGATGGGTTTGAGACCTGAACCATCTGATATTACGTCTTCTACGATTAAGATATCTGCAATTGAACCGAAGACGCTGACAGAGCACATTGTAGAAGTTGATTACCAACAGCATGCTAGAGCTATCATGTTTAAGTTGATGGGTGGCAGCTTATTTCCCATGCCAAATAGCTCCGATGCCCCCTGTGGTTTGGAAAATTGGCACTAGAACCCCTCTATTTTCAAAACTTATTTCTAAAGTCTCCGTGGTTTCAAAATATTGCACCCGTGCCCCCTCTGATCATTTTCCGGCCATTTTCTGGCGAAGAGGGGGTATTTACGCATAATTTTTAAACCATGGGGAGTATTCGTGCTCATTTTTTATTTTTTCGTTTATTATTTGTGTTTTTATTTTTTTAAATATTTTCTATCTTTTTTTTCTTTTCCTATATTTTTTTCTAATTTATTTTCAATTTTTCATAATGTTTTAAAATTCTAAATTTTTTTGTGTTTGAAATAAAAATAAAAATAAAAAAAATTAACATACATTGCATCTATTTGAAATTAAACATTTTCACTTTTTGTTCTGTACTTATTTGGAAAGTTCAAAAAGAAAAACCTAGAATAAAAAAATAAAAATATGGAAAAATAAAATGAAAAATAAAAATACACAAAAAAAGTCTGATACAAAAAAATGGACAAGCGTAAAAAAGTCCTTAGAATTTAGATGTTCGAAAAAGATATTCATTTCTATTTTTCTATTATTTCGTTTCTTATTTTATTTGTCATTTTTTTGAAATTCTCAAAAAAAAGTCTACTTTTTTCAGAAAAAACAAAAATTGTTGATTTGAGAAGTACATATACATTATATGTTAATTTTTTTAAACAAAAATAACTTTAAATTTTATGAGCATTATAAAAATAATTTTAAAAAAACTTTTATTAATAAAAGAAACAAATAAAGGAAAAATGGAAAAAAACAAAAAAATAAGCGAGAAATAAATATCAGCACCGATACCCCCTGTGGTTTAGTAAATATGCAGGAATGCCCCCTTCTTCGCCGGAAAAATGGCCGGAAAATGATCAGAGGGGGCACGGGTGTAGCATTTTAAAACCACAAGGACTTTAGAAATAAGTTTTGAAAACAGAGGGGGTTTTGGTGCCTATTTTGCAAACCACGGGGGGTACTGGCGCTATTTGGCCTTATTTCCCAACACGACGGGAAATATGGTTAGTTTGTATCTGTTGGAGGTAATCATGGGTGACTCTGTGCTAGTGCGGGGTCGTGTCATAGGTGTTGCGGTTTTTAGTTTCTTGTATCGTAGTATGTGTCGTGCGAGCATGACACATGTATCTCAGATAGGAGGGTGTCTTTATGTATGTTTCCTTTATTTTGTAATGAATTTAGTTCCTTATAAATAATTTAAAAGTAATAAAAGTAAATTGATTTCATTCATAAACTAAAATTTTAAAAATTTTTAATACAATTATTTTCTAAAATAAAATTAAAAAAGTTTAAAAAAAAGTTTATAAAAGTGGAGATAAAATAACTAAAAAAAGTTTAAAGAAAAGATATTAGGCAACTAATGAGCTCCGTACATTAAGAAATTGTTAAAAAAAAATAAAGGCAAAACGGATTAGGCTAATCCGTTTAGTAATTAAATGAGAGAAACGGATTAGCCTAATCCATTTGGGGAAATAAATACCTCCAAAACGGAGTAGGCAAATCCGGATTGCATTATTAGAGAAAATGTATATTTGAATTACATATAATGGAATGCGTTGCATGCTTTTTACAAAAACAGGGAATTCACCCCATAATTTTGAATGCTAGCACCCGGTGCTTTCTTGAGCATCTCTTCCTTCTTTTTTTCTTTGAACATCTACTTTAAGCATCTATCTCCAATAATAACATCTATAAACATCCTCTTCTTTCTCCTTTGAGCATCTCATTTGGGCATCCCATGGACATGCCTTACAACCATTGACTCATCTACCCGGCGGTCAAACTCCGTAAAAACTAAACAAAACTACACCGTCACGAATATGCCACACGTCGTCACCACCTCGCCTCATTTCTTTCCGTTCTCTCTAATTTCTCGCACTCTCCAAACGCTTCCAAATCTAGATCTCTCTCACTGTTTAAACCTCCTTCTCCTAGATTCCGTTACCGGAAAACTGCCGATCTTTGCCTGAAACTGCCCTGATCGGAATCTCCGGCGAGTATATCCACATCTCGTAGATAATAAGCGATTGCGTCGAAATGAGTAACGGAGAGCTGCTCCGCATCGAACCTGTTGACCTTCAATTTCCATGTAATTTCTCCGCCCTCTCTCCCAAGCTAGCTCTTTGGAGGCTCTTATAGCCCTCCCTTTTTGCGGATTTTTGATTCATATTTTGCTCATTTTTTTTAAAATTTATTCCTCATAACTTTTCATCTGTTGTGGATTGATAGTCGAATTGAAGAAGCAGATCTCGTGTTCTTTGAATCTGACGAACAACTCTGATAACCATGTCGCTTTCAAGGTTTACTGAACTTTTTTTTTAATGTTATATGTGCATCTATGAGCCCCTTTCCATTGTCGATTTGATTTTCCATGTAAGGCAAACTGTTGATCTGTTACATATTTTCTTCTCAGGTGAAAACAACGAATCCGAAGAAGTATTGTGTGAGGCCTAACACTGGGGTTGTGTCGCCTCACTCTAATTGTCAAGTTATAGGTGTCTTTTGATTCCGCACATATTCTTCTAGTGCGTTTGATTTTGGAGTTCTCATTGTTCCTAACGTTATTAATTGTTGAATCATATGGTTCAGTTACAATGCAAGCGCAGAAGGAGGCTCCAACTGACATGCAGTGCAAGGACAAGTTTTTGCTTCAAAGTGTGGTTGTGACACCTGGCGTCACGGCAAAGGATATTACTCCAGAAATGGTTATTTCTTGCTGTAGTTGATTGTGCATGGTTAGTAATTTGGTTTCTCCTTGAGCACTAGTTCTTATATGTGCTGCTTGGTTTTAGTTCGTCAAGGAATCAGGGAATCTTGTTGATGAATGCAAGTTGAGAGTAGTGTATACCTCACCTCCTCAACCTCCATCACCTGTGCGAGAAGGTTCTGAAGAAGGATCTTCACCAAGGGCTTCACTATCAGAAAGTGGACAAATGAATTCATCTGAGCACAGCAATGTGAGTTTCCAATATGCCAGATTTTAGAAAGAGACAACTAGTCAGATGTTAAGGGGCATAAAATGGTCAAAAAGGAGATATTGAACTGACTTATTATAAATGCAGGTTTCAAGAGCACAAAATGAGTCACAAGAGAAGTCATTGGAGGTAAGTTTCAATGCTAATTTAATTCTAGAGAGCACTCAGTGACACACTCTCTTCTCCCTTTTGAGACAAGATCTTTATGGCTCAGTTTTTGTTGTTGTTGATGCATTCCATGCTTTCATCTTTGATCTATATTGTTATCATTATTTTTTTAATTATCCAGTGGTACACTGCCCGTCGTAGGTTACTTCCAAAAAGGGACTAATTAAGTAATAATTTGTAAAACCCTAATCATTCCCTCTTTGGGTGTTTTTAGTCCTCAAAATGAAGATGCTAGGCATTGACCTTTATACCCGTATCCACTTTATTTTTTTGACCTCACACCGGAAACATTCAACACTATAGCTGAATCAAAATTTATCATAACCCACCCCTTTCTTTAATTATCTTGGCCTACCCCATCTTGATGACACTGACATGACTAAACATTAACTTATCCATTTTTATTGGCCACATGTCCATTGTGATCACCACACATAAATCTGTAAGCGCCCGATATGCCCAACCGGGAAAAATGTGTCCATATCTACCACTTTATCGTTCACACAAGCCGTATCAATTGCAAATCTAGAGAAGATGGTGAATTAATTTTGGTTGCTCAAGCCTTCATAAGCATAAGTGTTTGTGGCCATGAAGGCCCAGAATGAAACCCTGTACACAATACACCCAGCTTTAAGACATCTGTTGGTGTCGCCAGGCCTGTTAGAAAGTCCAGCACTGGCACCTAATAACCTACTGCTATGGCTAGTGAATCTATTCCTCGTCAGGCCTGTTAAAACAGTCAGCCACCAGGCACCAGAGGATCGACATCCTGCACCGACTCCACCACCCTCTGTTCTTTACCTCCACACTGATTACATCCCAAGTTGTTCCCAACTCAACTTCCATATCATGGGTATTTCCAAAAGAATTCTGATAAAAAATGACTACTTTGACATATGTCCTCCTAGAATGGTTAGTAAAATGTCCTATACTCCTACTTACCCTTACAAGTTACAATTAATTTCACCCAACCTCATTTCTTTTCTATCCATCCTTACCCCTTGCATCCCATTCAACTCTTCTTTTTCACCCATGAGCCTCCATCCTCTTCCTCTTCCAACATGCACCTCCACCTTCCTCTTCCAGATCTGTGCCTCCATCACCACCCCTTCTTAATTCCGGGATCCAATTAGTTTATCAGTATTGGTAAGTTGGGTTTCCAGATGAATTTCGAACGAGAATAGAAGCCTGTTTGGCAGAAATTGAGTTATCCGTCCGGACATAATGAGTCACACATGTATAGAAGCAGAGGTATCATCAGACTGGACAGAGTCAGAAACTTCACCATTTATTGTTGCTACTTGCTATCAAAACTTTAGCACAATGAAATCTGCAGTTAAGCACAAGCTGGAGTGTGAAGAATTGCTTGGAGATGCTGCCTGAAAATGGCTCACGCGCCGGCGCATGGAAGCCGAAGTTGTGGCTGATGGTGCTGTGTGAGAAGGGTGATGACTGCTGGAAACCTGGGGTTGGGCAGCTTTATTAATTATTAATGATAAAAGTTGTAGAAAGACTAGTTTCAAAATTATGACACTGATGAACAGAACCCCTTGATGGGAATCCGAGATACCACGTTGTCAACCAGAAAGAAATATGCTTCAGTTTGTTCATCTATTATGTAGTACAACATACACGTGAATATATAGATGAAGTAAAGAGACAAACCCATGCTGAAGTCCACCCTAGGTCTGCAATATGTTAGGCTAGGTCTAGTCTATGGATATAGGTCTACTGCAGGGGAAGATATGATATTGTTTCTGACAGTTTCGAACTATGAATCTTTGACAAAGTTTGCCTAGTGTTTCATTCCTGCAAATTTTAATAGTTGTAATCCTATTGTAAAAATAGAACCTGATCACCTTTTTGGTTAACATTTTCAGGCAAAAGCCTTAATTTCTAAGCTCACAGCGGAGAGAGATTCTGCCATTCTGACGAATAAAAAGCTCCAGCACGATTTGGTAAGGATGTGTTTGTGTATTCTATTATACTCCGTATAAGACTATAAGATATTAACAAATCCATGATGGGCAATGGCAGCCAAGACTTAATGGCGTGGCTAATGTTTAGCCAGCCACCTAAGGAATTTTGTGGAGAATGGATGCCTATGGCGGTGCCATACAGTTAAATTGTGGCAACCGACTATTTGCCATTAACAAAGTTCTAATTAGGCCATGTGTCATGGTTTGGGGCTCGACCATGTGCCACATAGGCACCAGCTAAGCAGGTGGGTGTGAGTAAAATACTAGGTATGTGTATTATGGGGCTTGAATGGGGTTGGAGTTTTGACCACCTCGTGAGTGGGTGAAAGTGTGGATTATTTTGATTATATTGAGGTGAAGGTATAATTTTTTTTGATTGGTTGAAAAAAAGAGGGCAACGCGTGATGGTGGTGGCGTTGGAGGGGCAAATGAGAGTGGTAACGCTGTGATGGGTGGGGGTGGGGGGTTGAAGGAGGGTGGTCAAGCCCCTCCTCACGCCCCATAACACATAGAGTGAGTGTATAGTACCCATGCATGTCATATGCGAGAACAGCTCAAGTTTTAGCTTATAGATATGGGTACTTTTGTTTCTCTTTAAAGTGCATTTTTTATTTTTGGTGAGGTACAACTAATTGAAATCATCAAATATGAATTACTCGTATATAATTACATTTCATTGTTTGCTTAGTTTAACTGAAATTAGCATATTAAACTTTTTCCGGACATATATTTATTTAACTTAATACCATCTGATATGATGAAAAGTAACAACTTTTCTTTTTCAAATTTCACTTTCTTAAGGGACAAAAATATGTTGAGAAAGATGACTCTTTTTAAGGGAGAGAGGCAGTACATTACTACATATCAACTTCTTAATTTTAACCATATTAATAAATGCCATCATTATTTCCCATACAACAAGTCAACAACACCAACCCAGTACAATCCCAATTTCATTCGGGTCGGAGGGTGAGGATCTACCCACCCCTAAAAGAAGAGGGGCTGTTTCCGTTATGGTTTAGAGGAATTTACTTAAATAACACTAAAACATAATGACTTTCCCTAAATAGCACCACATGTGTTTTTCTTCCCAATGTAGCACTTTTAGTCATTATGCATTAGTCATTATTCAAGCAAATATTCGCCATCACTGCACATTATGGACATTATTAAGTGCTATTTAGGGAATAAAACAGTTTAAGTGCTATTTAGGGAAATGAGTGCTATTTAGTGCAAATATTTCTATGGTTTATTCCCAATTTTTCGAAGAAATTTAGCATACAAATGATGAATTCAGACCAATCTTTTCATTGCCTCCTTACAATGTCATATTCATAGAGAGTAAATGACTTCACAAAGGTGGATCTTTAGCATGTCTATCTATATATCAACAGCCATCATATCTTATGATTCTTCATGTTGCTTTATTAGGATGTGTTGAGACGGGAATCAAACCGCAGTCGAGGAGGCATTCCATTTATGTACGTTGTTATCATCGCCTTGATCGGTGTTCTCCTCGGCTATCTCTTCAAGAGGGCATCATGAAGGCCATGTATGTTTCAATTCTCAGCTTCTTTTGGAAAACTCTTGGAGAAAGTGTGATTAATTTTTGTGTATTGATTGACTAGTTGTCTGGTGGACCTATTTTTTTGAATTAAAGAAACAAGTTTCTTTGGTTATGTAGTAATTTCACGACCCACATTTGTGACTTATTTTTTTAGACGACATTTATTATTATTATTATTATTATTATTATTATTATTATTATTATTATTATTATTATTATTATTATTTTTCTCTTTTGACCAAATTTTTATTACTTGGTATATATTTTTGACTATATAAAATTATTTTTTGAGCTGAGTGAAGTCATACTAAGAATTGAATTATGGGGTGTGGTTAGAATTGATTCGAAAGAGAAGTCATGAAGACTACATATATCTTACCACTTCTTCTGTCTCGTTTCAGTTTACAATGTTTGACTGAAATTATTTTTAAATCATTTCATATGAAAAATAGTACTCCCTTTCTCCCTCATAGATCTTCCCAATAGCTCCTTTTCTTTGTCCATAATAGATCTTCTCATTTCATTTTTTAACAATTATGAGTAAAATACTCCAACAACTCTCACTTACTTTATCTATTACACCTCACTCTCCTCATTTAATACATTCCATCCATTTTAACTAAGGGTATTATGGTAAACTTTTACCTTTTTTTAACTTTCCTTAAAAATTACCAAAAGTCAAAATGAGAACATCTAAGAGGGACGGAAGGAGTATAAAATTAAAAAATAAAATTAGATATTAAAATACTATATCAAAAGATGGTTCTATTTATTTTGGGATGGACAGTCCCTTAAATTTGGGGTTTGTTGAGGAAAACGAAGATTAGAAATTAGGTTTTGGTCAAATGCAAAATTAAGCCACAAAGTTTGGAATTTTTCTTTCGTTTAATACTCCGTAAATAATTTCTGTCTGGAAAATAGGTTTGGTCAAATGCAAAAGGAAACACAGAGAAAGACTTTTTTCTGTTTGGATTTTTCTTCAATGGGGCCAAATACCAAAAAAGTAAAATGATCTGGATATTAATTCGGGTCGGATTTTGTTCCTCCAAGAATCATATAGAATTGATATCATATTCGCATTGTAGTGTTTGGTTGACATTTGAGAATCAATTCTTTCAATTAAGATCATCCAGCGTTTAGGATAAGATTCTTCAAACTTGATTTTATTTTAGATTAATGTTACAAACCCACCAAGGATGACATCAAGATTGACCCGACTACTGTTTTACTGACAATAATTTCTCATCAACGATTATTGCCTGCGAAACTAGAATTTTTCTTTCATTTATGTCTATCAAATCAGGCCATATGCCCTTTTGCCGCATAAAAAGTTACAATTTGATTTTAATGAAATTTAAAAAATGTATATAAAAATTGAAAAATTTAGGCAAAATTTGTTAAACTGAGAAAAATTTTGTGTCATTATGGTTTTTTTAAACGAAATAAAATGTACGGAGTAATTTTTTTAGAACGTCCAAAAAGATGAAGTAGAAATGTTTTTGCGGAATGGAAAGAACATTTCTTTCTCAAAACAGACCACATTAGTGAGCACAAAAAAAAACCGAGGAAGTACCTTTTAAACGCAACGAAATAATTAAATAAAATTGTTTTTGGCATATGAACAGATCGAAACAATTTTCTTTTCAAAAATTTTTGCAAGATAAATCTCATAAATTCATTTTCATATGAATCTACAATGTGATTTTTATGTAACAAATTCGTTCAACTTAACCACGAACACCAAACTAGACAATACTCTGAGAGGGAGGCAATATTTTTCTAATTGCAATTAGGCAATAATTAAACCAAACTCCACAGTACAAACAATGAAGTCATTAACATACATACATCAAGGATTAGTCACCCTACATTGTCTCACTACACTATACTTTCCCTCAACAAGAACACCAAGCAGAAGCCCCCCTTAGCCTAATGTTAGTGCATCATTTTGAGGATCTTTAATGACATATAGGACATAATTTAAAGAAAAAAAACTCACAATTAAAATCACCAAAGCCAACTTAGATACCTGTAAGATATGTGAAATTTCCTCAAGATGCGACGTTTTACAATTCTTTTATCATGTTGCATCGAAGGACAATCTTGCGAAAATCATCCAGGCTCAGCTGCAATTACAAAATGTTAAGCCTAACGAATGAGCAAGTTTCTAAGGGTTGTTTCCTGCCTTAAATATCACTTCGATTGATCCCCTTTTCTTTTTTCCAAAATTCTGTTACAAGCGTGCTTACGAAAACCCACTAATTTTGACCCGCATTTTCTTCATTAAGTACGCCAGGATCCTGACTCTAACACTGTGTTTGGTTCATGGAATCCGGAAGGGAAAAGGGAAAAACGGCAAGAGAAAGCAAATTGGGTGTATGGTTAGTAAAAATAGAAATGTTCCGTTTTTGGGAAAGGAAAGAAAACAACCAACTATTCCCTTTCCCCCCTTCCCCGCCCTCCCTCTCCACACCCACCCCACCACCGCCCTTCCTCCGCTCTCAATTATTTCACCCTTTATTTTCACTGCAACAATCAAGCAAACGAATTTCGGAGTATTATAAAGAAATTTTCTCATCAATTTCTCTAGTAACCAACAACAACAAAACCTAGTAAAATCCCATAAGAGTGGGGTTTGGGCCTTTGGGGAGGGTGTGTGTATGCAAACCTTATCCCTAATCCCCTATTTGGAAGTAAAGAGGTTGCATCCAAGATACTCCCGACTTAGGTAGCATTTCGTTCAACTTATTTTTTCTGCTTATTACTTATTCTTATTATAATCAGATCAGATCACAACAGATCAAACCAGATCACACCAGACCAGATTAAAAACAACTTTAATTATAGCTGCAATCAGATCAAACCAGATCAGATCTTCAAAAAATTAGATCAGATCATATTAGCCGAACGGAACGCAACCTTAAACACAAAGGCAAAATTTCTCTATTAACCAAACAAGATTAAGACTTTTGGTTTATTTGACCTTTTTTTGTCTTCTTATCATTTTCCTTTCTTTCCTAATTTCCAAACCAAACACAGCGTAAGAACAAGTGAAACGAAATCTGCACAAAATGAAAGGATTTAGTGATGACCTTTCCATCTCCATCACCATCAAAGCAATGTATCATGTCTCTTAGCTCTTCTTCAGACCATAAAAAGTCATGTGATGCTGCTACTCTTTCTATGTCTCTCAAACCTATGCTTCCCTTTCCTGCCTCTGCAACAGCACTATGTCAATTCATCCGACGAACTTAACAAGTCAAAATAAATTGTATTGTAGGTATATTTAGACACAAAGGAATACTTCGTATTACTTTTGCACTTGTATCAACCATAGTTTTAGATCGACTTTCTAATACTAATAGTGGAAATATCATAAAGCAAGACCAGTCATTACCATCAAAGTGAAAGAAGTGTAAAATGATTTCATCTTCGGTCATTTGCACCCGACTCCTGATCTGGTCATAGCAAAAGAAATGTTGGGACGGGGTAGGAAGTACAAGATAAAGAGAATGCAAGAGACCCTAACTCATGCAATACTCCATCCATTACTTATGGAGCTAAAACAGCCATCATTGACAATGTTTTAGCTTCACCCAAAAATAACTGCTAAATCAAAATGACACATTAAACTTCCATTGCCTTGTACTTTTTATGAAGTTTTTGGACAGTGAATGCAGCAAAGGTCTAAGGAAAACAGCCTCTGTATTTTACAGGGGCAAGAGTACCTCAACCTTGACCTTTAGATCCCTACGGTGTTAGGACTCTACCGGGTTTGTTGTTGCAATACATTCATCTTAAGGAGATATAATATGCTGCAAATATACACCAAAACAAACCGTTTGTTTTCTCTTCCTCTTTCCTTTTCCATCTATGGTGTTAGAGTCCACATTCTTCACTCTAGACTTTTCATCCATGATATGAACACCACCACTTTTAGGAGGTGTTTTGTTCACATCCAAAAGTCCAGCAGAATCTTGTAGTGAAAGAGCAATTGCCTACACATATAAGCCAAGTGTAGTTCAGTACAAAACCCAACTTTTGACAAAACAAATAATTCGAACTATTGAGTCCCACTAGTAATAATACGGAGTAATAAAAAAGAACTATTGAAATTTTTGAGTACCTGCATCAAAGCATCATCATCATCCATGAAATCTGATTCACGGGGAGGCTGTGTGTTCAGAGCTCTGTTCTTTGGATTTGAATGTTTATTCTTTGACTGCAAAAGACACCCAAAGAGAATAAAAATGTTAGAAAACATGCAACATTCATATCATTTCATGGAAGTGATAGAATCTTTCACATTGAAGCTCATAACACAAGCAATTTGATTTTAATTGCTGCAGGATATATACTGAGAGAAAGTGTGACAAGTCTGAAAGGTCATGACTCATGAGAGAAGTTGGAGAGAGTACTTCCGGGCTATGTTGCACGGATTCTTCGAATAAGTACTGATTCCCGTCCTTGAAACATCCCCGTTTGGTTACTTGGGGATGCCCCGACACCAAAATTCTTTGTAAAAATTGGAAAAGTTGGTGTTTTCCTGATCCCAACCCCGTCCCCGTTTCCGTGCAACTTAGCTTCCAAGAGATGACTGATGAGGACTCAACAATGCAAGAAGTGTTAAGAACCCAATGACTTTCAATACTTTTTCTACATGATTTTAACCCTTTGAGCAACTGCTAAATTTCAAACAGCAGTGGACATTTGATGAGTGACAGAAGATTGAAACAAAAGCACTCTTTCATTAAGCAATTGCACATTTTTGGTTGCTTTTATAGAGTTTAGTTCCGGAGGCAAAACATGAAAAAAATGAATAAAGAAAAAGATTCTGCAATTCTATTTCTCTTTCAAGGTTCATTTGAATTTTGTGTTAAAACATATCACATCAGTCAAATTTATAAACAAAATTATATTTAAAAAAAAACCTTATTTGAAACAGATTTGGAAAACCCATAGCGATCACCACCGTCATCTTCTTCTTCTTCTTCGCCTGAAGAGCTCGCACTCTCTTCACCATCAGAAGAAGGCTTGTATTCATCGTCTTCTTCCTCGGAGCCCACCTTCGTTTTTCCTCTCTTGCCGGAAATTCTATTTTGAGGCTTCGGAAGTGAACCCAATAAGGAAGTTGCAATTTTGCGAAGGCCCAATGCCTCCATTCTCGCTCTGTTCTCCTCGATTCTCTTCAATCGTTGTTTCTCGTAGGGTGAAAATTTCCCCTTTTCTGGAGTTTCGGTTGCAGGTTGTTCAGATTCCGAGCACGATTGGGAGCTCTTCGACGGAGAAGAGTCGGAGGATCCAAGACTCGACATTTTCCCCGATTGGGAGTTCTGATGAGGACGTTGCAACTGGCTAGTGTTTGGTGGGAGGTAGGTAAAAGTTTTATTAGGTAGGTAATGGTAGGTAATTGAAGGTAGATAACTGAAGGTAGGTAATGAGTTAAAAAATTGTGTTTGGATGTTTATTAGGTAACGTGAGGTAGAGAAAAAATAAAATTACCAAAATATCCTTGTGGTTGTTTTTCTTTATTTTTTAGGATGTCAAAGGCAAAACTTCTAAAAAAATCCATTTGAGTATTTTGGCATCAAAAGTGGTTCACAAAGCATAAAAAATACAAATTGAAAATTAAAAAGAGTCATCTATTGCAATATTGTCTTCCATATCACAATGTGAAAAAGGATAAACTGCTTCTTGCATAGTTAACTAGATAAATCAATCTACAGCAATTAATTAACCCTAGAGCTAAATAAACAGAAACAAAAAAAAAAGTGGAAAAAAGAAAAACTGAAAACTGAAAAAAAAGAAAAAAAGAAACGAAAACTGAAAAAAAGGAAACAAAAAAACAGAGGAAATTAAAAACTGGAAATTGAAAATTGAAAAAAGTGTAAAATTGAAGTAGAGCAGAACGAAAAAAGTGAAAAAAATTCAGGAAATTGAAAAAAAAATGAAAATCGAAGTGCAAAAAAAAAAAGCAAAGAAAGAGCAGTAGTGGCGATAGAAATTGAAGTCCATCGCAGAACAAAAATAAGCACCTAAAAACAATCTGTGAAGATGGCGATAGGAATTCGGATAAAAAAAGTGAAAATTGAACGACGATAGAATACCTGTGCGATCGGAACCGGAAGAAGAAGACGATGTGAAGATGGCGATTTGTTTCGTGCGATTGGGTGAAGGGCAGCGGCCTATTTCATTACCTCTATATTTCGCCAATTTGGCGGTCACGTAAAATGCACTGTTCAGAGGTAATTCTACCTTCCTCTACCTTCCCCTACCTTCCCCTACCTATCTCAATTTTTATTCCCAAACAAGGTAAAATATTAAATTTACATCCCTCTACCTCTCCCTACCTCCAAACAAACGCAGTGTAAGAGATACTCCGTACCTTTTTCCAGGAGTCGTGAAGCTAGCACGCCATCCATCAACCTTGATTTTGATTTTTTTTTTTTCAAAAAAGAAAAGAAAGAAAAAGGATAGTCACATCCTCGGGTACTTTCAAACTCGGCCAAATGATTACTGAGATAGATAAATTGTGATAACTGATAAGCTATTGATTTTATAAGATTATGCCTGGATACTTTGTACTCCCACATTTACCGACATGGAGTAGCTTAAGCTGTGATTAGTTAGTTTGTTATAGTTTGTTACTTTCAATTAATTTTCTGTTAGTTGGTTATCTTTTCTTTATCCTTTTCTTATATGACTTGGCATGTGACTTGGCATCTATATAAATGCGCCTGGACGAGTTTGTAATGTTGAATACTTTTCTCAATCAATACAATGGAGGTTTTCAATCTTCTTCTCTGCGTAAACTCCAACATGGTATCAGAGCAGTGATTCATCTTCCTCTCGCCTTCATTCTCGTTCTCTCTGATCTTCGTTCCTATTGCGATGGCAGACAACAATGCGAGAAATCCTGAAAGAATTGATCCTTCTGATTCATTCATCAGATCATCCATGTTTAATTCTCATCTCAAACAAATTCGATGGAAATGGATTTGGTTCTTGGCAGAAATCGATGAAGATTGCTTTATCCGCCAAGAACAAATTAGGTTTTGTGAATGGCTTGATTCAGAAACCTAATAATAGTCCTGCTCAGCTCCTCGCCTGGCAGCGCTATAATGAAATGGTCACATCGTGGATTCTAAATGTTCTAAGCAAGGAAATAGGAGATAGTGTTTTATATGCAAATTCTGTTGCTGAAATCTGGAATGAACTTGATGAAAGATTCGGACAATCTAATGGCGTGCGTCTGTATCAGCTGCAGAAGGATCTATGTTCCATTTCTCAAGGAAACTCTAACATTGCTGCCTATTACACAAGGATGAAGAAGGTCTGGGATGAGTTGAGCATGGTTACCAGCTTGCCTCGTTGTAACTGTGGAGTTGCTCAAGAAATTCTAAAATATGAACAAGATCAGAGGCTTATACAATTCCTTATGGGTCTCAACTCTGATTATAACACTGTCAGAGGCAACATCCTTCTTATCAAACCTCTGCCTTCAATTTCAGCAGCTTATGGGATGCTCGTGCAAGAAGAAAAGCAGAAAGAGATCCAGATTCCAAGTCCTTTCACCTCTGAACACACATCTTTGAATGCCAACATTCAGCTACATAACAAAGGGAGATATGAAGATAAGAAGGTGCCCATATGCAACCACTGCAAAAAGAAAGGACACACAGCCAATAAATGCTACAGAATTATTGGTTTTCCTAAGGATTTTAAGTTTACTAAGGGAAAAGGAGTGGCAGCTCATGTTTCCAGTGAAGGCATGTCAGACACTAATGACCATGAAGACAGACCTGCTGTTTCCTTTTCCAATGAACTGTGCAATCAATTCATGCAGTTTCTCAATACTTATCATGGAGAAAAATCAAGATCAGATTCTTCTTCTGAAGCCTTCACTGCTCATATGATTGGTATGATGTCTTCTGTTAATTCTTTGCCTACTCATATATGTAACAATGTGTGTGCTGTTGATGGTTCTTCTTGGACTTTAGATACTGGGGCAACTGACCATATGTGTGCCAATCCTCATCTTCTCAGACACCTTAAAAATCTTTCTGTTCCACATCATATAACCTTACCAAATAATCAACAACTCACAGTTTTTCAAACTTGAACTTCCACTCTGCCTTGTGATATAACCTTACATGATGTTCTCTATGTTCCTACTTTCAAATATAACTTGTTGTCCATAAGCAAATTGTGTAGTCAGTTGGGTTTCACAGCTTGTTTTACACCCAATAAATGTCTGTTGTAGGGCCCTTCCAAGAAGAGGCCAGTGGATCTTGGTGAAAGACAAAATGGTCTTTACATTACTCCTGCAGCAGTACCTTCTTCCCACAAATCTTTTCCTTCTTCTTCTGTTCAAACTGTTCATAATATTTCTCATTGTAATAAGGCTTGTAAAGATCTCAATGTTCAAATTTGGCATATGAGATTAGGCCATCTTCCTGCTTATAAACTGAAACATGTTTGCTCTTTTAATAATGAAGCTTTTGATTCCTTATCTTGTTGTGATGTTTGTCCTCGAGCTAGGAAACACAAATTGCCCTTTCCTCACAGTCAGAGTCACTCTACCACTCTTTTTGAATTAATTCATATTGATATTTGGGGACCCTATCACACAAAGACCTACAATGATTTTTCTTATTTTCTAACCATTGTAGATGACTTCTCTAGAGCCACATGGACATACCTTTTAACTGCCAAGAGTAATGCCCCTGACCTTATACAAAGCTTTGTTACTATGGTTCACATTCAGTTTGACAAACACATCAAAACCATTAGATCTGACAATGCATTGGAGTTAGGCAGAAGTGCTGCCACCTCCAAATTTTTCCTGTCTAAGGGCATTGTTCACAAAACCAGTGTGAGGAAGCACAAACATTTGCTTGAAACATCCAGAGCCTTAATCCTTCAATCAAACCTCCCTATCAAATTTTGGGGAGAATGTGTTCTCACTGCCACTTATCTCATCAATAGGTTTCCCACAAAACTTCTACAAAATAAATCACCCTATGAAATTCTCTTTGGCAAACCTCCCAACTATGATCACTTGAGAGTGTTTGGCTGTTTATGTTACACTTCTACTCAACCCCAGGGAAGGCATAAATTTGATGAGAGAGCTTCCCCTTGCATTTTCTTAGGGTATCCCTATGGAAAAAAGGCCTACAAGGTTTATAATCTCAATACACACAAAATGGAGGACTCCAGAGACATCATTTTCCATGAACAAATATTTCCTTATCAGTCTCCTTCATCACAACAGCCCTTGTTTCCTTCTCATGTGAATCCTACACATCCCTTTGAAGACACACCTGATTCCTCCTCTGATTCACTCTCTGAATATTCCAATCCTCATTCCTCATCTCATTATCTTCCTAGAAGATCCACTAGATCTCATCATCCTCCTTCCTATCTCAAGGATTATGCTTGTCATTCCTTTGCTCCTCATCCTTCAGAGTCTCCTACTAGTTCCTCTTTCACTTCTCTTTGTTCCCACACTGTCACTTCCACCCCTAGCTCTTCACACATATGCTTAGGGGCCCTAACTCAAGAGAGCCAATAATTGTTGCACATTGTTTCATCTATGCAGGAGCCAAGATCTTATTCAGAAGCACATACTGATCTTGCCTGGGTTCAATCCATGGCTTTGGAATTCAAAGCTCTAGAGGACAATGATACATAGGAAGTTTGTGATCTTCCAAAAGGTAAAAAGGCCATCAGTAGTAAGTGGGTGTACAAACTCAAGTTCAAATCTGATGGCACCCTAGAAAGGCACAAAGCTCGCCTGGTCATCAGAGGATGTACCCAAAAAGCTGGCATAGATTACCATGAGACCTTTTCTCCATTAGTCAAAATGACCACTATTCGAGCTCTAATAGCTGTAGTTGTCAAGCATCATTGGCCAATGTTTCGATTGGACGTCAATAACGCATTTCTACATGGGGACCTGAATGAAGAAATTTACATGCAACCACCTCAGGGCATGTCTTCTATTCCACCCAATAAGGTTCTCAGGCTAAAGAAGTCATTATATGGGTTAAAACAGGCATCTAGACAATGGTATGCCAAGTTGAAAGCTGTCCTCAAGTCCAGAGGTTATGTCACATCCAAGAATGATTATTCTCTCTTTACCAAACACATGGGCTCTTCAGTGGTTCATATTCCTGTTTATGTAGATGACATCTTAATCACAGGCAATCATTCAGCTGAAATTTCCAACCTCAAGAGTCATCTTGATAATCTGTTTAAGATCAAGGACCTGGGGAAGTTGGGTTACTTTCTTGGGCTAGAAGCTGTTTATGAAAATGATTCTCTCATCCTTACTCAACATAAATTTACTATGGACCTTCTCTCATAATTTGGTTGTCCTCCCTCCACCCAAACAACTTGCCCATTGGACACTAATCTGCAACTACGCATTAATGTAGGGGAACCATTGCCTGATCCTTCCAAATACAGGTGTCTTGTAGGGAAACTAAATTTCCTTACTCACACTAGGCCAGACATAGCCTATGCAGTTCAATTTTTGAGCCAGTTCATGCAAGATCCAAGGGTTCCTCATTGGGAGGCAGCTCACCACACCCTTAGATATCTCAACTCTTCTCTTTCCCAGGGTTTGTTCTTCAATGATTCCTCAGACTTTACTCTCAAAGCTTATTGCGACTCTGATTGGGCTACTTGCCCTAACACTCGTAGATCTGTAAGTGGTTATTTTGTTGTTTTGGGAGGGAGCCCTGTTTCTTGGAAAGCAAAGAAACAGACTACTGTCTCTCTTAGCTCGGCAGAAGCTGAGTATAGGTCCATTCGAAGAGTCACTGCTGAGCTTGCATGGTTGTCAAGATTATTTGCTGATTTGGATGTTCCTGACATTATTTCTATTCCAGTTCGTTGTGACAGTAAGGCTGCAATTTATATTGCCACCAATCCAGTATATCACGAAAGAACAAAGCACATCGAGTTAGATTGTCATTTTGTGAGAGAAAAGTTGCAAGAAGGCTTGATCACCTTATGCCATATCCCCACTTCACAACAAATTGCTGATTTGTTTACCAAAAGCCTTCCTGGTCCTCTTCATCACAAATTCCTAGCCAAGTTGGGGGTTAAGGCACCCTCCAACTTGGGGGGGGGGGGTGTTGGAGTAGCTTAAGCTGTGATTAGTTAGTTTGTTATAGTTTGTTACTTTCGGTTAATTTTCTGTTAGTTGGTTATCTTTTCTTTATCCTTTTCTTATATGACTTGGCATGTGACTTGGCATCTATATAAATGCCCCTGGACCAGTTTGTAATGTTGAATACTTTTCTCAATCAATACAATGGAGGTTTTCAATTTTCTTCTCTGCGTAAACTCCAACACCCTCCGTCCTCCTAAGATCTTGGCTAGGAATTACTAATGGTAGCTATCCAGACTACCCGGCTATAGTTAAAATTATACAGTTTTTTATGATGCAAATAAAAAGTTCACTAATAACCAAGAATCAACAAGAAAAGATATTGAATGATTTTTTGGTATGCTCAAGCATAGACGGAACACTGTGCAAAACCTAACTCGGGCATTCTCACCAAAAAATACATGTTAAATACACTTATTGCATATTGCATAATATGGTTTTTGTTGACAAAAAACACGAGATATTGGCATACAATCCAAACAGTGTGAAGGAGATTGTCGAACCAGTTGATGTAACACAAGAAGATCTAAACAAGCTAATGTTACACAAGACGCATACGACGAGAACCTTCTTGTCGATTTGGTTGAGCATTTGTGGAATTACGTGGCGCCACTTCAAGATGAGAAAGAATATTTTTTAACCATACCTTTATTTATTATATTGTATAATGTTCTTTTTCTTCACTTTCCTTAGTGTTTAGGTCCGTGTCTTTTTTCACACGATGTCATTGTAATTTAAATTTAATATTCATAAAATATTAATTTAATGTTTTTTTAGTTATTTTAATTTAATTAGATGTAAAAAATAATATAGAAAAAAGATAAGAAAGGTTTTCTACGGGATCCACACCCTTAAAGGGGTGAGGGATATGAAAGAAAAAAACTGAAAGAGCGTTGAGTTACCATGAAGGGGTGGTGTAATTAACACCTTATCGCATTAGATTTTTGGTGTAGTAGCTAGGGCTTGTAACAAACAGAAGCTAGTAAATTGAGAATTCAGTGTCCCATTCGGGCTTTATGTCAAAGCTGACATTTTGACCTGGTTTACTAAAATTTTGATTCAGCTCTGTTTTACCGAATGAACACCCCTAAACAATACAACTTTTTGTGAAACAATCGGAAGTATATAGCAATTATCATGAGAAGAGTTGCTTTGTAGTTTTGCGTGAAACATCGCATCTATTCACGATATATTCGAATGTGTGATCCTAAATATTCAATATTATGTGTCTTTTCATAAAGGATGTTAGCGGTAAATTATACATTCAAATGTATTATTTTATATATTCGAATGTACATTACTTTAGACTATGTTTATGAAAATTCAAAAAATTTTGGAAAACAATAATGTCCAAAATAAAAAATTTTCCGAGCTAATGTGACAACTCAACATCAAGTAGGAGTATCCCTTAGAGGGGTTGCCGCACCGAGACCTTCACTTATTGAAATTGTAATATTGTTAAACGTGTGTGCACTTCGTACATCCAAACTCAGGGTAAATTTCACCAATGGTACCTGAACTTTAGCTGGAATTTCGAAATGGTACCTAAACTTCAAATCCTTTCACAAAAATCCCTCAACTTACACAATCATTTCACTAATTGTCCATTAGCACGTTTCTAGGTCAACTTTCGGTCATTTGGGCCAAATTAGAATTTTATATATTTTAAAATTTTTAATTTGACCTCATTTCTTTTATTCTTTTCTTCCGCTCCCCGCCGCCGTCACACCACCTCAAACTCGCCGGAAAATCAACCTGGTCCGATTTCGGCGGGACCAACGCCATTCTCTTCGTCTTGAGACGAGGATCAAGAATATCCAAACCATTTTGTCCAATTTGGCTTGTAACTCCTCGAATTTGAATTTTTCCACTCGAAAAAACCCTAAAATCCGAAATTGGTTCCGAAATTGGGGGTTTTGCAAATCGTCATCAAATCTTGTAATTGAGGAGTCCTTGGGGGTCGCCGAGATGCCAAGAACACATTGGAGGGGATGAGCGGCGTCAATTTGGCCGGAGGTGGCCGGAAAACGCCCCGACCCGCCGGAAGGAGGCGGCGTTTTCCGGTGGGTCGGGGCGTTTTCCGGCCACCTCCGGCAAAATTGACGCCTCTCATCCCTTCCAATGTGTTCGTGGCATCATGGCAACCTCCAAGAACCCCTCAATTGCAAGATTTGATGGCGATTTGGAAAAAAACCCCAATTTCGGATTTTAGGGTTTTTTTCGAGTGGAAAAATTCAAATTTGAGGAGTTACAAGCCAAATTGAACAAAATGGTTTGGATATTCTTGATCCTCGTCTCAAGACGAAGAGAATGGCGTTGGTCCCGCCGGAATCGGACGAGGTTGATTTTCCGGCGAGTTTGAGGTGGTGTGACGGCGGCGGGGAGCGGAAGAAAAAACAAAAAAAGGGTCAAATTGAAAATTTTAAAATATATAAAATTCTAATTTGGCCCAAATGACCGGAAGTTGACCTAGAAACGTGCTAATGGACTATTAGTGAAAGGATTGTGTAAGTTGGGGGATTTTTGTGAAAGGATTTGAAGTTTAGATACCACTTCAAAATTCCAGCTAAAGTTCAAGTATCATTGATGAAATTTACCCTCCAAACTCGTTAAAGTCTATTAAATTCTTGTTTGAATTTGAAAAATCGATCTGGTTACATAAAAGAAACTGCAATCTTATGTATTTATTGGAGCATTAAATAAACACATCTTTCTTGCGGGGAATGACCGACACACAAATTTGAAAGTCGCCCAATTGACCAGATGCGTTTCACCCAAATGGCTTGAAGTCCTCCATCTATCTTTCGTGAGTGAAATTGTGTTTTTAATGTCACATAAATACGGAGTATTTCATTTTTATTTTTTTTCTGGAATAAATATCATTGCCACAAACCAGCGCCGCCACAACGAACCACCGGCACTACCAGTGTCGCCGCCCACACCACCGCCGCCGTCATCACGTAAAAACCCGTTATAGTTAATCCGATTCCAAATTTTCTTATCAAGCACAATTTCTATTTTCTATATTTCAAAAACTTATATTTTCCGTGGCATCAAAAACAATGTTAAAGAGGGTAAGATACAACATTAAGTACATTGAACTTAAAGTGACACTAATTTCATTTTATATATTTCACCAGGGGAAGGTTCCCATGACATTGGTTCCCAATGTCATGGGATGACCCGGGGACGCTCCGGTGTCCCGTTCGTAAAATTGACGGTTCCTACCCCCGTAACCCCCCACCCCGCGCCGCCCCGAACAAACCCCCTCGACTTGTGGGGTGCAATTGGAGGGGGTGGAGGGGTTTGTTCGGGGCGGGGCGGGGTGGGGGGTTTGTCGGGGGGTTAGGGGGGTAAGAACCGTCAATTTTACGAACGGGGCACCGGAATGTCCCCGGGTCATCCCATGACATTGGGAACCAATGTCATGGGAACTAAAGTGATTTCACAAACGATGTAATTTATGAAACAGATAGTCTTAATAAGTTCGTGCAATACACGCACAAACTTATCTATTTTGGTATAATTTTGATACAACAGTTCAAATGACACTACATCTTCATTCCAATATCATAATATGACGTCAGATTCATACAAGGATTTTACAATGCTCTTTTTCACATCAAAATACGGAGTAGTTTTTATTCCTCCTAACCTCTTCTATAAATCAAACCCTTAGTCTCCCTACATCTAGCTTAGCCCTTCTTTACACCGTTCTCTTTCTGATGACAATTTGGGAGATTCGCGAGAAGTTCAAGGTAATAATCACTTCAAGATCGAACGGAACATTTAATGAGTTTTTAATACTTTACCGATCATAATCAGGATCATTTGAAATGTTCCTATTTTTTGTACTCCCTTTAGGCCTATACAATACTCTACTCTTTCCTTTTTAACGGTATGATTCAGTTTTCAAGACTAATATTTGACTAATAATATCTTGTGAAATACTACATTAGTAAAAGATTATTAAAAAAATACAATAAAAGTGTTTTCGATACCAATTATTTTTTATAAATTATATATTTTAATTCATTATATATTTTTATATATAGTGAGTCAATCATTTGACATGTAAAGTGAATTAGATAGTTTTAAAAAGAATGGATGGGACAAAGGGGTATATTTGAACATGCATGGTGAAATGGGTAAATTAACCCATGTGTAATTATGATCACACATATAAGAAGGTATATTCGATTCATAATTTGTAAAGAAATTGATGTGCTAGCTCAACTGGTTCAAAGAGAGGAAGATGTCAAGTTCGTTGATCCTTGGGTTAAATCCTGACAGCGATAGTATGAAACTCTATTATTTTTTATAGCTCCCTTGCGTGCACCGGAGTCCGAAGACAGGGCAATCTCTCTAAGAATCAAACTGAGATTATACTCTCGTCACAATCTTGTTGGGTCGGGGCGTGAAAGCGCTCGAGATGAACGTTCCACCACTTCCACCTTGTAAAGAAATTGATGTTGGGTGTCCTTGGAAGTTGAGATGATAGAGATTGACACCATACAATTTTATTCTCGTTCTTCCTCCCTGAAAAAAATACTCCCTGAATTCCTATTTCAATTCACGAGGACTTATTATTAAAATTATTTTTTTAACTCAAAAATGTGTTCAATTTACTATGACTTGTAAAATTTATATATTCCATGCTCAAAAACTATATAAAAAATTCTAATCTCTCCTTCCCAATAAAAGGTTTTGATTTAAAACAAAATTTAAGTAAAAATGTTTGGTTAAAAGGTAATGCAGAAGAAATAGAAAAACTGTGAGCCGCTCAAACTTTTCCATAAAAGGAAAGAAGATGTTTTTTTAGATGTCCTAAAAAAGAAATAAGGGGTTTTTTTGGACGGAGGAAGTACAAAATTAGGGCCGAGAAGTTTACTTGATTTGATCAAGATTAGAGTAATTAACGAAATTTATTACTTAATAGGGTGAAAAGTTTAAATTGACCATATCATAGTAAGTGAATTTTTGTTTTTACATTCACCCAAGAGTGTTCTTTTTTAACTTTCAGTAGTGACTTTCAAATAAAGTTCAATTCAGTAAATTTCAGCAGAAACCAACAACTGGAACCTAAATTTGAAAGGCAATTAAGCAGAGCAGATGAAGTTGTGAAATACTGCAAATATTACTGTGATCTGATTGATCCCAAAACAACAAAGAACAAACAACAGAAGAAACTGAAACCCATCTCTTGCTATATTATGATATCATTCCTTAATCTTTTTATGTATACACATCTCCACAAGACTCCTCACAAACATTAGCAAACTCCTTTGCAACAACCAACCACAGATATACAAAGAAAAAACTAACTAAACCCTAAGAACTTGTTTCATTTCAGCTTTCAAAGTCAGGAAAATCAACAGTTTTGAACCGAGTTCTTGCTCTGCAAATCTTGATGCATAAACCCAGTAAGGTATACCTGAGACTGAATGATCACTTTGCCCATTTTGAACCCGGGCACGACCGTGAAGCCGACTTTGGGCCTAGTCTTGCCCAGAAAGAAGCTGTTTTTCTTGGTGACATCTTCCATGTGCACCATTGAGAAGTCTGCCCCTCCTTGCACTTGGAAGATCTCAACGATGGGATTGAACGAAAAGGCCAACTTGTGGAGCAGCCATATGGAACTTGACATCCTGACAAACAGCTCGCAGAAAACACCCAATGATTTCCAAGAATCCAAGATGACTTCCTTGCGGTCCATGTTGCTGAAGATCGACGATTCCATGGTGGGATGGATCAGCTGCTCATACTTCCTCTCGCAGAACCTCGAAAACCCAGAGTTCGGATTCTTTTGTAGAACGTCCATCGGATTACACGACAAATGTTCGACTAGTTGTCTCATGTAGCCACTATCAATGCAACCATTGTTGTCATCATCATCATCATCATCATGTGTACCAAAATTGGGCTTATCGAAACCACGAAAGATCTGCAGAAAAACATAGGAAAGGAATGCATATTTCTCATGCCCTTCCTCTGCATAATTGACATCAGAATAAACTGAATTCGCAGCCTGCTTCAGATCCCATCCAGCTTTTTTCATCAGCTCCAACAATATCTTGCTAAAACAATGCACAGATTTTATCGAATCGCGCAACATAGATTCAAAAACATGGATTGTCAACACAACATCCATGGCACTGCATGAATTCTCAGTTCTTCTGAGCCCTAATTTCTTCGAAAGGCTCGAATTAATGTCCTGGATTTTGTTCAATTTCTTCCTCAAAATCAAAACCTCGTCATCCTTAGACTCAATATCAGACTGTAATCGATTTACCATGGTCTCCAATGATCTGAGCTTGCTCTGGTTCTCTTGAACTTGGAACTCGAAAACTGACCCGACTGGGAAGTACTCCAGATTACAGCTCGGATGTTTCCGGAAGCTCCAATACAAATTCCGGATTTCGGTCAATTTCTGAAGAGTGGATACCAGAGCTTTGTCGGCCGATTCAATGGCTTCCCTGTTGAACGGGGCGTGGGCCATTTGGAGCTGGAGATAAGAGGCCTCGAAGGAGGAAACGTTGGCAAAGAGGGATGAGGCGAGGGCATTGGTGAACTGCGCTTTCGCGGTCGGGTCGGGAGAATCGGGCTTGATGACCACAACTTTCTGATCGGGGATGAACTCCTCGGCGGAATTCAGGAGGGCGTAGCCGTCTCCGTCGCCGTCGTCGGCAGAAGTCTCTTCGTCGGCGAAGAGCTCGAAGGTCTTGGCCTTGAAGGCGTGAGCGAATTTCTGAAACATCTCGGAGATTTGCTGGGGCTTCACCACCGCCGCCGCCGCCGTTCCTTCCGCCTGTGGCATCGCTCAGCTGCTATGGATCCGCATATATCGATTTCGATACAAATTCTTGGCTTGTTCGTGTGGATTTGCGATCAGAGAAAAAGGTAGAAGCTGCGGTTGAAAAGGAGAGGGAATAACCAACCGGAGGAAGTCCAAACTCCGTCGAAATAGTCCGGCGGCCGGCGGGGGTATGGGGGGTTAGGTGACTTAAAAGAAAGGTATGTGTGTCAGCGTTTTCCCCACTTTATACTCATGACTATGGATCATGCTTGGAAAAGAAAATTTGCACAAAGATTACCACACCTTTTACTCCCTATTTGAATTTTTTTTCTTTTTATTTTAATTTTTTACTTGATATTTTTAAATTTAAATCATAATATAAAGAAATGATATACAAATATTGTACTTTTTTCGTCCAAAAATAAATTACTCCGGTACATTTTATGCAAAATGAAGTAAAATTATACTCCATCCGTCCCCCTAAGATGTTCTCATTTTGACTTTTGGTGGTTTTTAAGGAGAGTTGAAAAAAGGTGAAAGTTTACCATAATACTCTTAATAAAATATGGGTGGAGTGTATTAAATGAGGTGGGTGAGGTGTAATAAATAAAGTAAGTGGGGGTAGTTATGATATTTTAATTGTTAAAAAATGAAATGAAAAGATCTATCGTGTACAAAGAAAAAGAGCTATTGAGAAGATTTATGGGGGACGGAGGGAGTAATTTATTTCAATTTATTTTTCCGTATATTTAAAAATTGGTATATAAATTCAAAATAAATAAAACTTGGAAAATTAAAAAAAAACATAAAAAATTCTATAAAATAAGAATTTATAAGAATATTTTATTTTATTAAATAATCTATGAAAATACACAAATAAAAAAAATTCCATTATTTTTAAATAATGAAAAATATACGAGGTATATCATTATAAAATGGAGGGAGAATTATGATATACACTCCGCGTAACAACAAATTTATTTTGGAATATAACTTTTTAAAATATGGAGCGTAATACCTCTATACTTCATCCGTCCCATAATGAAATACTCCGTATATTATTTACTATTGAAAAATCACGAGAATTTTTGTTTTGTTTGTTATTTTCATTTATTATTTTATAAGATACTCCGCAAAATATTTTTATCATTTCTTGTGGTATAAAATTTTAAATGTAATTTTAAAATATAAATATTTTATTTTTTACTTCTATATCAATATTAAAATAAAATGCCCTTTAAAAAATATTAAAATAAAATGAGTTTTAGAAAAACAAAAAATGTCCAATTTGCGTAAAATATACGAGTAAATCATTCGACATAGGCAGTAAAAGTAACCCCCTCTCTAGTCTCTTCAACTTGCATTATGATGGCAAGTTTGACCTCCTGCTCTAGATTTTGTATTTGAGATTCATGGTGATTAAATTTGGAGTAAATTGTTAAAATGATCTTTTTCTAATTAGATATTTTCTCAAATTAGTTTTCAATAAATTTTAATTATCTATATAATACTTTATATGAGTAATTGAAATTTGTTTTCAAATAGTACTTTGTAGAACATTTCACATAAATGTCGATTAAGTAGAGAATGTTTTGATATTTTTTATCACCTAAACTTAGAGTTATTTTTAAATGATCATTTATAATAAAGTGTTTTTCCGAAATGGTCTTTTCTTATCAAAGAGGTGTATTTGATTCAAACTTAAAATATTTTGACAAATTTTTAACAATTTATGGATTATGTATTGTCAATGATTGTTTTAATTTCACGTAAAAATGTATAGAAGTGATCATTTTGAGAATTTATTTTACGTTTAAATAATGGAAATAACAAAATACCCTCGAATTAGTCACCATTTAAGTGATATTTTTAAGAAGCAATATTTAGAAAATACATCTTAATTATCAAATACCATGTACATAATTAGAACTTATTGAGAACTAATTTGAGAATACATCGTTAAGAAAACTATTTTGAAAATTTACTCTTAAATTTGAGATGAGATGAGTATCCATGCATTTTAGATTTTTTCTCCTTTTAAAGTACCAAGATATGGTCAAGGGTAGGTAGAGGTGGCAATCGGATCAACCGGATCGGTTTCGGGTTGGATTTTTTCGGTTCGGATATCTTTCGGTTATATGTTATAATCGGTTCAGTTCGGTTCGGATCGGTTAAATTTCGGTTCGGATTTGATTTCGGTTCTATACATTTTTCGGTTCGGTTCGGTTTCGAGTCGGTTCAAATACGGTTCGGTTATAAATCGGTTCGGATAGATTTCGGTTCGGATACAATTTGAGTCGGATATATTTCGGTTTCGGGTCTAGTTCGGTTCATATATATTTCGGTTTCGGATCAAATATATTTTGGATATATATTATTTTCTAATCTTCCCCTTTTGACTTTTTAGTCATATTTTACAATTTGGACTACAAATTATGAAAACATATATATTTAATTATGATATAAATTTAATATAATTAAATTGATTTTGAAATTTAGTTTTGAAATATAAAAATTTTCTCAAATCTACTAATATACTTATGTATATAAATGAAAGGATAAAAGATAAATTCAAATAGTCTTATGTTCCATTTGAATAAAATTTGTAAATTGTTGAGTATATTTGGTTGAAAATAGAGAAAATTAAATTTAATAGAGTCAAATATAATTAATTTTACACCTAAATGTAATGGTGTAGATCAAATTTGAAAGTGATAACAGTAAAGGCTGCCGCTAGAGAGTTTTTTCAAAATGCTAACACTAACATTTAATTTTATTGACTAATATTGAGTGAATTGGTTTGAAACTAATCAAATTAACTCTCAAATCAATAAAATTTATTGTAATGAGATGAAATTAGGATAAAATCTAATTATTCCATACAATTTATCATATATATATTCCTTTCGTCCCAAAAAGAATATCACACTTCACTATTTAAAAATTACGGAAATTTTATTTGTTTGTGCGTTATCATTTATATCTATAACTTATCTTTAATTTCTACATATAATAAATTTAAGGCATAAAAATTTGTACTTTTTTTCAAGAAGATAATTCATTTTATGAGGGAAGGAGCAAGTAATATAATGTAACTAGTTCAAATGGTAAAATAAACGTAAAAATTTAAAAATATAATATGCTTATTGAAAGGTAAACATAGTTCTGAATTTATCGATTTTATTTCTAATCGAGTTCGGATATTATCGGTTTCAGATCTAATCGGTTTCGGATTTTATCGGTTTCGGGTATTATCGGGTCCGGATCTAATCGGTTTCTGGTTTAATCGGTTCGGATATTATCGGTTTCGGATTTAAATCGGATATGAATTATTTAGTTCGGTTTCGGTTCGGTTCGGATCATTTCGGGTTTTCGGTTATAGATCGGATCTTCATTTTTCGGATCATTCCGGTTTCGGTTCGGGTAATCGGTTCCGGTTCTGTTTTGCCAGGTCTAAGGGTAGGGGTGGGCATTCGGGTCCAAGAACCGCGAGTCGAAACCGAACCGCCAGGTTCGGGCCGAGTTAGGTCCGGGTCGTCTTTTCAAAAATTTAAAACGGTCCGGATCGGTCCGGCTCCTATATATTTTAGGGTCGGTCCGGTTTCCCATTTTGAAATTGTTTGGGACCCGGACCGGACTGTTTTTTAAATACTAATATTATTTTTAATATTTTTTTAGTAAATATATGGTAAAACATCGAGTTCAAGTGCTCTTCAGCTTCAATCAACAGAAATAACTAAAAAGCATAAAGGATGTGCGGTATTATTTATCAATTCACTAACATTAGTTTATATACGTTTAGTCTTTTATACATTATTGGAAACTAATTTAATCATATAATTATATTTTCTCTACAGAGTAAAGACGAGATAATCAAGACGTAATTGCATGTGAAGGAGGTAGATTAAATATTGAACTTCTTTAATCATTTGCATATTTTTGTGTGTGGAATATGGTTGATTTTAAAATTTTGTTTTTTGCAGGTTTTTTGGATTTTTTGGAAGCCATGAAGATTGTCAATTTTGCTTTTTTTTGAAACCTATTGACATTATAATGCCAAAATGTGGTTGTCTTCTTTTTGTTGTTGTTGTTGGATGATCATGGGGTGTACACTTTACTCTCATGCCCCTCTTTGTCATTGTTTTTTCATTTATTCCTCTTTTTTGAACTTTGAATGCATTATTCTATAATTTCTATTTGTTTTGAAGAATATTAGTATTATGATAGGTTTGGACCCGTTGATCCGTGGAATCGACCCGTTTCAAACAAGCCGGGTTAGGTCCAGTTCCAATTTTAAAATTTTGAAAACTCATTCCGGCCCAGACCGTTTTAATAAAAACAAGCCGAGTCCAGTTTATAAAAATTTGGGCTCGGATCGGCCCGTGCCCACCCCTAGTCAAGGGCATAAAATGAGACGGAAAACGATTTCAATGATGTATTTATTTATGTGCTTCCCAATTCATGATGTGTGAAAGATGATTTTATGTTTGAATTTAGGGGATTTCAGAAATGTTTTTTATTCTATCAGTTTTTTATTCGAGACCCGGTTTGAAAATATTGAGTTTTGAACAAAGATTTTGTTACCGAATTCAAAATAACCCGCTAAAATGAGTCATATTTGACTAAACATTAACCTGGCCGACACACTACCAAAAGAGTTTTTCAAAATCACGTGCTTTGATATGAAAAATGATGTAATAAAAATTAGATTATGTTTTTATTTTTCTCTTATTACTCAATTTTAGGGTATAAACTTATATTTTTAAACAAGTTTTTGATGATATCACATACTACTTCCATCACATAGTATTCGTCCATTTTGACTTTTTTTCGAGTCAAACTGACAAGCTTGCTTGAGCCTTAATTAAGTAAAAACTATAATGTACGGAGTATATTAATATTAAAAATGATTTTAAAATATTTAGAAATTTCAAAAATTCATTCTATTGTATTACGGAGTAATATAAAATACAAATTGAGAGTACTTCATGATTAAAGTTTCTCCAATTTAGGTCAAAAAAATAAAACTGGACAAATACTCTAAAACGGAAGGAGTATTGCGCAGTTATGTTTGTACATTTTTTCCAAAAAAAAAATACTATCACCTTCTTTGAATATTTGTCCAAATTTGAATATCCGATCAAAATTCAAAAAACTTGACCACAAAAGTCATAATGAGAATTTTAAGACGGAGAGAGTACTTTATAAACATAAAATGAGACAGAATATATTGAGCATAATCCATAAACAAGCTCCCTAATTTCTTGTGACCTCAATAAGAAAATGTAATACAAGAAAATACAATTAAATTATGGGAGAGAATTCAAATTTTCAAATGTTGAGTGGCTTCGCGTCTTAAAGAGCCCGGGATTTTTAGAACATTCCAAAACGAAAAATGTGAAATAAATTCGAGACAAGTATATGACATATGGCAGAATTTTTGGGACATATTAGAGCAAAAACACAAAAAAATAGTGAAACAAAAGAGTATTGATTGAACTCCAATTATAAACTTGAGTTTATAACAAGGGCAGCTTTAATGGGAACAAAGTGTAAAAGACAGAAGAAAGTCGGAAACTATGAATACTTCACTTTCATACTGAAAATTTGCTTGCCACAAGTCCACAACTTCAATGCATCATCCTCTTGTATTGCAATGAATTTTCAATGAGGAAGTGAAGAAGAACTCTTACAATCTGCTGCAAGTCCGTGTTTGTGGCACTTTTGCTTAGGCCAAGAATCGCCTAAAAATTTCGGTTCTCTTGGAAACAGTTTAAATCAGTTAGGAGTAGTGAAATTTCTTGCAAAAATATAAACTTTAACCTCTATAAATGTTTACTTCTTGAGTTTGATATACTCCGTATCATTGAAACTTTTTGTGTATATTTATGTCTATTAAATACGGAGTATATGCAAGGGCTACTGTGTAAATATATCCACATATTTTACAATGCACGCGAATCAGGAATGTATGTATCTAAGAGACCTTACAACCATGAGATGAAGCAAGTCAAAAGGAATCGGACAGTCAAAACTGCAAGAGGACAGCTCTGTTGCTGATTAAGCATCCAGATTTGGACCTGGATAAGCTGGCAAACTCATTATACACTTGTCGACCACTGCCCCTCCTACTGTGAAGTGGTAAATGCTTTGGTACTCTGGTCCATCTAGCCCGAGAACTTCGTGTACTGGAATGCGCAATGACAATGCAGGTTTAAAAAGTTAGGGGTATTTTTTTGTAGGGGGGGGGGGGAGGAGTAAGAGAAGAGAACATACCGGGATCATCAAAGAAGCAACCAATGCCAGTAGCAGAGATGCCGACTGCATGGGCCTCAAGGTACAAAACCTGGCCAAGAACTCCACTCTCCCAAAACAGTCTAGGATACATCCAAGCTCTCTTTCCACCCAGAATGGGCTCGAAATGGGCTATCATACCAAGGCTGAAGCAGCCGTCACTTGCAATGTCCTGTTCATCCATATTTTTTCATGATCAAAGAGATGTATAGACGTTTCCGTAGTCTTATTGAAGTAAAAAATAGACAATCATAAATGCACACCAAGGAAGACAAGCACATAGTTGACAAACGCGCTTGTTCTAATGATTTTACGACTTCCTAGATTGAAAATCACCGTGTTTTATTATGTTATACGAACACAAACTAGTGTTTTTCATCTGCTAAACTTTCAACCAAACACTAGAAAATGCATTGATTTCCCAGAAGTCATCTTCCATCTTTCCAAACGGACCCTGAATGACTATGACTTGACAGTCATAAATACCTGATGGCATGAGAGCCTTTTAGAGAGTTCTTGACAGTCTCCTCTAGCAAGCTCATACAGAGGAAGGCCATCGGGGCATCCATCTGGTTTCTCCCATTTGAACTCTGGCCTAGTGGCCTTCCTAATTCCATCAAAATGGTTCTCATTCCTCACCAAGAAGTAAAAGCCGCTAGGCAAGCCCACAACCCTATGGACAAAAAGAACAGCATCTACTTCACATTCCCAACAAAGTGCCCTAAATGGCAATGCCAATTGCCGTCCATGCTTTAATCCACTCCCAGAACCTGAAGGCATACAATGCAACAAGATTTGATAAAATGTTTCTTTCGCTATACCAGTGTGCCCATCCATATCAACCGCGCTTCTTCTTTTTCTTACAATGTCTCTCAAATTAAATCCCTTGTAACAACTTTCGCCAAGCACCCCACTACTCTGAAAGGGGTCTATGATTGATCCTTCCACCATTGTAACGGGTTTTTTTACAGCTTCCGCAGTTCTATAAATGATGTCCCAACAAACATGCTCTTTACTAAGCAAATTAGGCTTACCCTTCCACTCAACAACAGACAACTCCGAAATAGCAGAGATTAACTCGTTATAATCCACATTATATTCAACCAATGATGAACTAGGGAAAACCAAAAGAACACAATCGGGATGCTCGAACTCAATTTCAGGCATTCTCCCTTTCACTGACCTATCTGGAATTTTGAAGTTCGGAAAGCAATCAAGACCCATTAACTTCTCCAACTCTGCATAGCCTAACCCATCAAGAACCTTGACATCCCACCCTAGCCCAGCTGCAGCCATAGCAACCGCGGCAATGGCATGCCCCACGTCATGATTGCAGTACCTAAATGCCCTTTCTCCATACTTCCAAGCCTCCCTCCAAAAAATTGAGGACAGCCCAACAAGAAAAGAATTCTTTGGTAATATCCGAGCGAGGGATTCGAATGGCACTTCTGCTCTGATCTCCAAAGAATGCTCTTTCGGAGCATAATGGGCGACGAAACCGTGAGAGCAAAGGGATTCGATGGGGGGAGAAATGAGATACGCCTCGGTAGGATGCAGATTCCCGCTGCTAGGGTTTACGCGGAGGGACCAAGTTGAAGCCCCGGCCGTTTTCCAAGCTGATAAGGCGAGAGAATCGTAGAAAAGCCGGGAAATTGTAGAGAGACAGAGGGATTTCGGAGATGGGAGAGAAGAGAAGACCTCGGCGTAGAGAGGGGATTCGGCGGAATTGGGAGAGGGAGGGTGCAGGAGAGAGATGAGTGGGGCGGCGGCGTAGCGGCGGAAAGGGTTCGGCTGGTTTGTCCAGTCCAGGCCGCGAGGGCCGCGGGCGTAGTTGTTGAAGGAGTGCTTTGTCTGGTTGTGGTATCGCAACACTTGAGCTATGGAGGCTTCATTAGCTTCCTTGCTGCCTGATTCTCTGGTAGATGAGGGTTGTGAGGACCAAGTAGACATTGAACGGATTGGGATTGCTTTGCGGGCGGAGGACGCGGCGGCGGCGGCGGCGCCGGTTGGGAGGCGGCTTTGGTGAAGTGAGACTGGAATTCTGCAGGAAATGAGAGGCATTTCGAAATGATCTCTTCTTGAGATCTTGAGATGTTAATTGAATTAAGCTAGAGGAACACCAACATGGGTACCCCAAATGTATACCAAGCCAACACAGACACACACAGATACAAAGTGTCTATGCAACACAGACACTTTTTGTCTGTGTGTGTCTGTGTTGGCTTGGTGTACACTTAGGGTACCCCATGTTGGTGTACCCCTAGCATTGCCCTTCCTAATTTCTATAGTTGGCTAGGGAGTATTTTCCATTACAAAAATGTTTGGAATAAAATATATTTTTTTGGTCCAAAGAATTTGGAAAAAAAGAAAAGAAAATGATTTTCTTTCATTTTTTATGAAAATGAAAGCAATTTGGTTTTCTCGCCACTTAATATATTTTGTCTTCTTATTTTCTTTTCTTTCTAACTAAACAAGAAAAACTTTTTCTACTTCATTTTCAGTTAGTTTCCCTTTCAATTTCCTTTAACGAAACACAGTGCAAGTTGTATTCTAATTTTTACGTCCAACTATCTAGGCAATTAATTTCTAATGGCTTCGATAAAAAAAGGAATAAGTAAAAAATGTATAAGTTGAGTTATAACTTGGTGTATCCTAGTTACTCTTCTTTGTTTGAAAGATTTGGTTTCCCATTAACGGACTAATCCTAAACTCTTAAGACTTTACTCAACAAGACAACAACGTATTCCCAGTCGTCTTCTTAATAGATTCCTTCGAATTCCTGATAGTTCCAAACTCTAACACTGCAAGTGAAATGAGATATCTGCAATTGATCTGACTAAAAAACTTATTCAGAAGCTAATGTTCATTGATGGAAACCATTTTAAGAAGAAATTTAAGTATTGAAGGTCGTGACCAAATGTGACACTACAACTTGTTGAAAATATCTTGGAGATTATATCTTTTATACTAGCCGACATATCGCATTGCAACCCACCACAAGAAGCACTGACCTTCGACTTTGACATATGGATTAGCACATAGCATTTGCCCTTACTCATTTGGTCATAACTAAGTTGGGCTTTGATATTTTTAGAGCATTAAAATTTTCCAATTTTTTATCTGAAACAATATGCACATATATCTAGCTAAGAGTGTTGCAATATCTACTCTATTTATGTAAAATTAATAAAATTACACTTAAAAATTGTTAACATCTAATATTCCTTCTATGTATTTTTAAGGTTAAAGTTATTCATTTAACCATAAGTAGGGTAGATGTTGTTACAATGAGGGTGAATATAACAACACCCTTTATCTAATTGAAATATAAGTTTATTTCTGTTTTTTCATACAAATTTTAATTTTGTATCAGGGGTCTAAATAGGGGTCTAAATAGAACGGATTTTAAATTTTCATCAATAATCAACTCATACTTATTAATTGCATGGTCATCATTTAAAATATCACGAGACACTAAAATTGTTGGGAATGACGGTCTTGCATAGGAATAATTTTTTTGAGCATTAGTATTTTGGATAGCATTTTAAAGATATAGATTAACTTTGAATATGGTAACGTTGTTGTTAGATACTCCCTCCGTCCCCCTGTATTTGTCTATATTTGACTTTTGGAACTGTTCATCTAAGCACTTTGACTCATCAAATTCTCTCAATGTATAAGCCTAAATATAGTCATGTGTGATCTTGTTTGATTTGTCTTAACATATAGATTATTAATATATAATTTCTATAATTTTTTAATATACAAATTACAAGATAAAATGGATTAAAGAAGTGCATTGGATGGTGTGCAAAAATGAAAGTGGACAAATATAGGGGGATGGAGGGAGTAGTTTTTTTTCAAAACACTAAGGGTCCGTTTGGTGAGTTTTGGAGATATGATAAGATATGAATTTTGATATCTGAGAGAAATGATATGGGTTTTGAAATCTGGATCAAAACTGTTTGGAGAGGGGAGAAATCAAATCAAATGAGATTATGCACCGCTAGTAAACAAAACACTCACCCCATCCTTTCTTCGCTTTTACTCACTTCACGCTTCTTCTCCACATTTCGATCGCCATTTTTTCCGAATGAGATATTATCATTCAATTCTGGACTAAAGATAAAAAGAAAACTCATTTGAATTTCTTTTCCAGTCTCCTTTTTATCTACCACTCCTCCAGGACCAAACTGATTCCCTTTTTCTGCTTTTTTTTCTTTATCTCTTTCTCCTTCTTGAAACCATATCATATATATCCTGCGTGCGTGGCCACGCCTCTTTAATCTCCTCTCCGAATCTTTAGCCTTTGATTTCGATTCAATGATTTAAGATTTCGCCACCAGATCTGTGTGCAGGGAAAACAGAGCGGCTATGGTGTCCACTTCGGTCCAGTGGACACCATATTGAAGAAGAAATAGGAGTTGCATGGGGGGAAAAAACAAAGCAATAAAAAGATAAATGAAGATGAAGGAGATGCGAGATGAGGAGGAAGGAGATGTACAGTTCCAAAGGAGAAGATGACGACCAACACAGCGGAGGAGATGGGGAGCACAATTTTGTGATTGTGAAATCGGCACTTTAAGTGTTGAAATCGGTGCTATACGAGAGATATCAAAAAGCGGCGTATTTGGAGGTTTCTGATTTCTCCAGATTTGAAATCAAAACCCTTTTTTGTTTCACCAAACACCAAACTTGAGAATTTAATATCTAAGATATTGAAACCTATATCTGATTTTCTCACCAAACGGACCCTAAGTCTAATTTCTAGGTTGTTTTCAAATTAACCCGATGTACTCTTAAGGCTTGGTCTTTTCTGTTAGAATGTTAAAGTTGGATGTTAGAAGAGATTAAAAAGAGTTGGAAGAAACTCGAATAAGTTGGTAAAATTTGAAAGGAGTGTTAAAATATTAAAAAAAGTAAGTCTAAAAAAAATTACTCAATAAAATGATCACCTAAATAAAATACTATGTATGTTAGAAAACTAATTTTTTTAAAAAAAAGAATTAATCTTTATCCGTGTTCGATGTGATATTTTTTAAGTTTAGATATATGATTTACTGTATATTCGTCACATGTAAATAAATTTTTTAAGTCATTATTGAAAGAAAGTGGACGCAATTGAAAAAAATTATAAGGAGTTGAAAAATTGAAAACTAATTTTTTAAAATGTTCTTAGAACTTACTCTCTTCAACTTGTTTTTAATATTTATTCTAATTGAAATCAGATCAAATCAGCTTAAAACAAACTCTAAATATAACTACAATCAAACTAGATTTCTAGATCAGATCAAAACGTATTTCAATCCTATCATAATAAATATCAGATCAGATCAGACGAACGGAACGCAACCTTAGTCTTTATCAAATCAGATCAGATCAAACCTTATTCTAATCTTATCATAATTAATATCAGATCAAATCAGACGGAACGCAACCTTGGTCCTTATTAGTACGGAGTAGGGATGAGCGTGGTACGGTATGATATGGTATTTAGCTCGTACCGATACCGTACCAAATATTTCGGTTCGGTATGGGATTTTATGTTGTACCGATCCCGAAGCATCGGTTCGGTATGGTTCGGGATGGTTCGGTATCGGTTTCGGTACAAATCGGGATGAATATATACGTACCTAGTTACATCATAAATGTAACAAAACTTTTATTTTTGAAAAATCGAAAGTACATTTAACCAAAGAAAGATAAATTTTTTTAAAATGAAATAATAAAATACAAGAAATGCTTATGAAAGTTAGTTTATATTTTGCAAAATAAAGAGAACAAGTGATAACAAAGTATTATTTCAAATATTTGTTAATATTCTTATACTAATCTACAAAAAATAAAAAACTCTTATTAAAGTGCAACTTAAACATAATAAAATTAAACTAAATTGTCTATATAAATTTTTTATTTAATGAAGAAATATAAAAAGATTATTATTTTATAATATGTTAGTATATATGTTCGGTTCGGGAATTTCGGTATGGGAAGTAACCTCGTACCATTCCCAAATACCGGACCGACTATTCAGTTTGGTACGGGTCGGTTTCTTTTCGGTACTTTATCGGTTCAATATTTTTCAATTTGACATTCTCGATTTTTTCAGGAAATATCGGGAGCGGTTCGGTCCTTTCTCACCCCTAGTACGGAGTATTAACTTTGGAGTTGTGGGCTTAAATTGACAGTTGGTGTATGGTATGACTGTACGCGTTCCCATCTCCGCGTATTAAACGCTACTCCGTATATATGATAATGTCTTTATATAAGCCATAGAGAATGATAGAAGTCATAGAACTCCCCCTTCCATTAACACAATTCTCTGTTGACTTCTTCCCCCTTCCTTCTTGAATCCCTTCTCCCTCTCATCCATTAGTCCACGCCTCAAATCTCTCTTTCAATCACCCATTTCTTCATCGTCAATCTTTTCCCACTGTCACCAACCCGCCCAGCCGGAGCCAGAGGATTCCCACAAATAAAGGTCCCCATACACTTTCACCCGCTCCTTTTTTTTCCCCTTTTTGTTTTCAACGCCAGCCTCAATCCCTTCTGTCAATACCCTCCCTCCCACAGAGAATGCGGATTCATTCGTCCCTGGAATTCGCAGATTTCTTGGGAGAAAATTGAAAAGATTGGATTTTTTTTCCTTTCTTTCTTCTTCTTTTTTTACGCGTTTCTAACCCTAGGCGTCTGTTCCCAGAAATTTCTGGGTAGCTTTGGTGTTTGATAAAGTGTGAGGGCAATCGGAGGTGTGGGTATTGTTTGAATCTTGGAGATTGGGGGATAATAGGATGTCCCAGATGAAGCACATTGATAATATTCCTTCTACCCCTGGGAAAATCAAGTACAATCGGACCAGGCTCCATTCTTCCCTGGCCAAGCTGACCTTCTGGTCATTCCTCTTCTTGGGGTTGATCTATGTTGTGTTCTTCAGATCACCTTCTTCCTATTCCTCTTCTACTTCCTCCGGACCTTCGGATCTCTCCAGGAGGTCTCTGAGGACCAGCTCCTACGGTGGCCCGGAATGGGAGAAGAAGATTAGGGCCTCTGCTAAGGTTAGATCAAGAAATGGGATTTGTGTTTTGGTCACCGGGGCTGCCGGGTTTGTTGGGACCCACGTCTCAGCTGCCCTCAAAAGGCGTGGAGACGGCGTCTTGGGCCTGGATGTGTTCAATGATTACTATGACCCGTCGTTGAAAAGGGCCCGCCAGGCTCTGCTGGAGCGCTCCGGCGTCCACATTGTGGAAGGGGACATCAACGATTCTGCCCTCTTGATGAAGCTCTTTGGCATTGTTCAGTTCACGCACGTGATGCACTTGGCAGCTCAGGCTGGCGTCCGGTATGCTATGCAAAACCCTAGCTCCTATGTCCACAGCAACATCGCGGGCTTTGTTAGCCTTCTAGAGGTCTGCAAGAGTGTCAATCCTCAGCCTGCTATAGTCTGGGCATCCTCTAGTTCAGTCTATGGATTGAACACCAAGGTGCCATTCTCAGAGAAGGACAGGACAGACCAGCCTGCGAGCCTATATGCTGCAACCAAGAAAGCAGGTGAGGAAATTGCCCACACCTACAACCATATCTATGGGCTTTCCTTGACCGGATTGAGGTTCTTCACTGTTTATGGACCATGGGGAAGGCCAGACATGGCTTACTTCTTCTTCACAAAGGACATTCTGAAAGGGAAGCCCATCCCCATATTTGAGGCGCCGAACCATGGCACGGTTGCTAGGGATTTCACCTACATAGACGACATAGTGAAGGGCTGTTTGGGGGCATTGGACACTGCTGAGAAGAGCACGGGGAGCGGTGGGAAGAAGAAAGGGCCAGCCCAATTGCGGGTATTCAATCTCGGGAACAAGTCACCCGTGCCCGTTTCGGAGCTTGTGAGCATTTTGGAGAGATCACTCAAGACGAAGGCCAAGAGGGAGATCAAGAAGCTTCCAAGGAATGGGGACGTGCAGTTTACCCACGCGAATATCAGTTTGGCCCAGAGGGAGTTAGGGTACGAGCCAACGACCGATCTGCAGACGGGTTTAAAGAAATTCGTTAGATGGTACCTCAGTTACTATGGTCATCATGGGAAGAAGACTGCATCCCAATGATCCCATCCATCCATTCCATTCCCTTTGGTGTTGTGGGTAGGACACCATTCAATATTTCTTCCCCATTTTGGATTCTTGTTGTTTCTAACCCATCATCCCATTTCATTGCTCCAATTTTCTTGTTTTTTTCTTGATGATCATAATGATGATGATGATGCCATAAAAAAGGGGTTCATTCATCTGATTCCACAATGAAGGAAAAATTTATAGAGGGAAAGATATATATATGTGTGTTTGCTTGCCATTGGATCTGCATTCATCCAATATCAATGAGACCAAATCTTAGTACTGTTTTGAGTGTGAGTCTTGTACCTTAAATTTATTGTTGTGTACCATTGTTTTCCCTCACTTAAGTCTACTTGCTGATTGAACATATATATATGTATTCATTACAAAAACCCAAGTGAAGAGTTATACTACATTACTACCCCTACAATAATTGTCTGTCTCATTGATGGTTGTCAATCTAAATACAACTTATGAACCCTCTTTTTTTTTGTTTAATTGTTGTTGTTGTGTTACTCTCTTCATTCCAAAGAACAGTTTTGGGTTTGATCTGACATAGTTTTGTTAAGAAACTTGAATTATGTGCTTGAGATTCATACAATGAAGATCAGAAAAAGAAAGGTTTTTTTTTATTAAAGATTATTCTTGTTCGGTTGGCTGTTTGATTGATTTGCAGTGATGTTTTTTTCCCCCTTATAAACCTTTTTTTTGGTTCATTTGTTGTTAAAATGTTGTTTTCTCCCAGAAACTGTGCCAAACATTCACTTACACTGACTTTAGAAAATTGACTTTTCAAGTTTGCCAAAAAAAAAAAAACTGTACTCCCAAGTACCAAAGTAGGAACATTTGTTTTGGATAGAGATAATTTTAGCACCTTTTGATAGTGTTTTTGGTGTTTGCTTTTTTTTTTAAGCTTCTTGTGACAAAGATAACGAATTCTGAAGTACTTTTGAATTCTTTTTTCGAAGCAGTAACTGTTCCAATGTGTGAAGCGGAGCCTTGATGTATTTTTCTCTTAATACGTCATGACAAACTTGTAATAAAAAATTGTTTTGGAATTAATATTATGATGAACGGACTTCAGAATGATAGTTCAATTGAAATTGAACATTTTTTTATTCAAAATGAAAATACACTACGTGATAGAATTTAAGATGAGGCAATGGTGAATGGATTGAGTCATACTTGATAAGACATTTCGATTGAATTATATTTAAAAGATTAAATTGAATCGATTAATTAGTCCAACTTAAAAGTTTATTAACTTGTTACATTCTTCCCAATTTTTAGATGAGGGATAGAGTCTAATACTCATCCTGAAGTAGACAACTAAATCATTTTGAATCTAATTGGTTGGCCATATGCAAATGGTCTTTCTTTCCCTTGAACCTAATATTTGAGAATGCAATGGCAAAACTTTTATGACTATGATTCGTTGGCTATGGACTTCTAGACGAAAAATCGAGTTAAATAAGCCACATGTTATTTTCCTTACAAACAACTGGGCTAAAAATTCATGGACTGCTAGGAATGAAAACCTAGACGGATACCTTGACAAATGAGTGGAGCCAAAACTTACTTCGTTACCATTAAAAGATTTAATTCAACCAATTAATCAGTTTAACTCAAGAGCTTATAAACATGTTATATTCTTCTCCATTTTCTGACATACTCTACCATAGGGGTGCATACAAATCAAATAAAATGTATTCGATTCGTGATTCGTATTCGAAAAAGATGATTCGTATTCGCTATATTCGAATTCGAATCCGAATACAAATCATATTTTAGATTCGAATTATTTTCGAATTCGAATACAAATATTAATAGATTCGATTCGTTTATTATTCAAATTATTCGAATATTATAATTTATAAATAAATTTATATATATTCTAATATATTAAAATTTGTGTACATATAAATTTATATATATGCAAATATTATAATTTATAAATAAATTTATATATATTCTAACATATTTTTACTACATTTTAATTTTTACTACATTTTACATTATTATAAAATAATAATTTAATGTCTTTAAGAAATTTGTTTTAAGAAAAAAACTACTAATATTTTCGATTTCGAATATTCGAATACGAATTCAAATATGTCAAATATCTATCGAATCGAATACGAATGTTTTTTAAAATTCGAATTATATACGAATCCGAATTCGAATACATATCACTTTAATCAAATACGAATCGAATAGTGATATATTTGCTTCGATTCGATTCGTATACACCCCTACTAGTCTACCACCAAGTGTACTCTACATACAACGGGCTGCACGGTCTTGATTCTCCCTTGATATTATGCTTCCAAAACTTGCCTTTTTGTTTCTAGATGTTTCAAAAAAGACATCTCACTTTGTCTACTTTCCTCTATAATATATACTCCGTAGATTATATTGAAACCAATTCATTAAATGTTAAAAACATTATTGTCTTTGTTTAGAAAAATCGTTCTTATTTTTATCATTGATAGGGATATAGAGTGTACATTTTGTGGCTGATTTTTTAATTTTTTCTTTGATGTGACGTATAAAAATATTCTTTCTCCATCTCTAAAAGATTATCATAGTTTGCCTTTTTTGGTCAAACTGTGGTAATCTTTAAGAGACAGGAAAAGTAATATAATGGATAGATTAATATAGAGTAGTAAATAGATGTGATAGATTAAGTATGGTTTATTATGAGTAAAACAAACTTTTTAATATAAAGTGAGTGTTTTATTGAAAAAATAAAAAAAATGAAAAAATGAAATATTTTAAAAAACAGAGGGAGTAATACTTATCATCTACGGAGTAGTTTATTTTATACTCATATTTAGTTATACTTCCTTCGCCCCAATTTAAATAGTCTATTGTTTACGAAGTTTGACTTATTGGGAAGAATATAAGTATAGTACTCCTTGATTCAAAAGAGGAAGTGAATCAAGGAGAAGGTATGAAAAATTTGAAAGAGGAAGAAGCGGGATGGAAAACATCTTCCGAAAAAAAATATTACCTTTCATTTTCACTTTCGTTTGACTGACTTGTTTTCCATTGAGTCATTTTCTATTTTTACCAAACGGAAAATGGAGAAAACGACTTGTGAAAGTCATTTTCCTCATTACCAAACGAACCCTTATTTCCAGTTAGAGTATTTTCAAATGATATGAAGTGTACAATTTTTTTTGTTAGAATTACTCAAAAAATCCCATCGCCTGGGCGACTCCTAATGAGAACACTACACTATTTTATTATGTTCTAGGTTTACTTGGGGAAATTACTATGTGCACCACACTATTTTCTATGAATGAAACAAAAAAAAGTGTTAAATTTCTCAGAAAAATGACCGGAATAAATTAAACTTTAATCAAAATCTGTCTGACTAATGAAAAACATGCACATGATACATTAGAACACTGATACATACTGAACATGTTTGCACTTTAGTGTTGTTGTCTTTACACTGAAACATAACCTTACTTTGAGGACAAGTACTGAAAACAAAGCTGAAAAAGAAAGCAAAGATAACAGCAACCACAACAACAACCAAGGTTAATCTCACAAAAGTAGGATCTGGCGAGAGTGCGTATGCAGACCTTACCCCTACTCAAAAGTAAAAAGATTGTTTCCAAAGAGACCCCTGACTCGGAACTTATTTGCTTCAGCTTATTCTTTTTACTTATTACCTATTCTAATTGAAATCGGATCACATTGGAAACAACTCTAAATATTACAATCAGATCATATCATAACTTAATCGAATCTGATCCGAACAAAAGAGAACAAGCACCCAAGCTGCCAAGTATCACTGGTATTCACGTATGCAGCCAAACCCCTATGTTTCATACATAGAGCAGTTGTTTTCGGATGACCCATGATGAGCGTTGAAGGTTGCATTGATTAACTGTTACTTCACTATTAAAAGAAGCGCAGACAGTTTAAAGAGTCATGTTGCTTCATTCCATCATAGTGAATCTTTGGCTCCATTGGAGATGATGGAAACAAAGAAAGCATAGATAATAGGAGTGGAAATCGAACGTTAAACAACCGGGAAAGAGATGGGTTTTCTGCCCGGCCATGTTTCTATTTTCTGGAAGTACTTCACCGGCACGACACCGTCAAAACCTTCCGTCAATATGACCTTATTGTCAGAGATGTAAAGCTTCATTCCTTCTGAAGTTAAAAAAAAAAGATAGAAAAAAGATAAATTCTAATAAGCTCCATTGCTGATATTGTACTCCTTGAGTCCATTGTCTTCTCTCTCTCTCTTTTTTGTGGGACCAAAAAATTATCTCCTCTTTTAAAGAACTAGTTTCTTTGGACACCTATCATGGGTGTAATAAGGACCCAGGGTGATTTGAGGACCCTACAATGCCTCGTTTGATCCCAAAGTGGTTCCTGCCCCCTAACTCACTCCCCACAAACCCCCAACCACATCTGTTTTGCCGCAGTGCTACAGTAAAATATTGTAGCATAACTACAAAAAAGGGCATGGAAGGGGTTGGGGGGTTGGTGGAAGGGGGTAAAGAGGTAGGAATCCCTTCGGGGTCGAATGGAGCACTGTAGGACCTCAAATGGCATGGGTGTCAAAACAAGCCCAGTCTTTAAATTAAAGAAAGATTACATTGTTCTGCTCTCTTCTAAAAAAATCTCAATCACAGAATTTCTGCTTTACTAAAGATAGTTAACGTCCAAATTGGAAGATAAAAAAGGACGAATGGAGGGAGTAATACAAAAATACCTTCCAATGCCTTCTTGATATCCAGAAAGATCACCATATTGATATCTCGTCTCATTCCTGCATAAACAGGAAACATGCCTCACTAGTCATTAACTAGAATCAATTCTCCTTTAGTCCCAAATCTGAGCACTTGTTTTGACTTTTGTGATCATAGTTTATAAAATTTGGTAGATTTTTATTAAAAATACATTGAATTATATTATGAACTTAATATCATTACACTCATTTTGAATTTTAGTTTTGAAATATCATACTCTTATACTCCGGGTAATATTTATTTATGTAGGGTTATAAATATCAATGATCAAAGCATTGCATTAGTAACTGTAAAAGTCAAAGTGGAAAATAATTTTGGGACGGAGGTAGTAGCTGCATCTCGCAGAAGTCAAGAAAAATGTGTTTGAGAAAGAGTATGTTACACTTGTAACCATTCACCAGTTAATATCTTCTTTCAAACAGCATCTTCAACAACAATTTACTACCTCCATCTATATTTATCTTCCTACTTTCCGATTTGGGTTGTCCTAAAATTTTATTCCACTTTCTTTTAAGGGAAAAAGTTGTGTGGTCCATATTATATCTCTTTCTCTACACAAACCACAACCACACAGATTTTACTTTTTTAAAAACCATGCAATGTAAAACTAGGAAGAAAATTATGAGACTGAGGGAGTAACTTGAATTTATCAATTGCAAGTTTGCAATCCATGCACAAATGTAAATATTCTATCATGCAACGACAGGTCAACTACATACCAAGTAGAATCCCACAAATAAGTATGGTTTGGGGAGTGTGTACGCACACCAACCCCTACCAGGTAGTAGAGAGGCTGTTTTCAAGAGATTTAAATATTCTATTATTTCTATCATCTTACCACTAATTACTTCACCGTCTGTTGGTAAGCCACATGAGAAGTGAATGTGCAATCTTTTCATGCATTTTAGACCTTGCTCCAAAATTGATTGCAAATTCCTCTTGTAGGTCCCATGCACGCAAACTGCACCTTAGGCAACCAACCATAAGAGAGATGCACTACTAATACATACAACACGAGAAAAAGTCCATAACATGTCAAACAAATCTTTACCCGGAACTTCTTCAGCTGAAATGACAGGTTTCAACAATCGTTCTGTTTCAACAGTCTATGAGAAGAGGACAAGAAAAAACTTGATCATATTGCTGAATCTAGCATAAAACACTACTTTGAAGGTGGGATAAAGTTGCACATTATATACATCAGAAGTGGTGACACTCACTAACACCACCTTCATCATTTCATCATTACATATTCATGGGAAGGAAGTCTAGGGACATGGAATATTGACATTAAAAGGTGGCATTCTGAGGTGATGATCAAATGGTTTTCATTGCCCAACGAATATGTAACAAATATGAATGCACCTACTAATGTCTGTGTCTTTGATGTCTCTCCAGAATTTTTGTCAAGCAAAAGGATGAGAAAGTATCATGAAAGTAACAATTCTCCAATACACTGCAAACCCTTATAGGTATAAGGTACTTGACACAATGCAAAATAGCTAGTTGTATGTAGGGTATTTTAAACTTCTTAAATGTTCTAATTTTGGTAGATGGGTTAGATCAAGCACAATGAAGATAAATAGTTTCAAGAGCCACAAACTAATATACTCCTCTCGTCCCAAAAAGGATTTCTATTTGAAGAAGGAAAAACTTCTATATTTTGATAAGGTAATACTACTGCAAGTCTTTCATCCTTTGTCCTCCCTGTCTTGTTGGAATTTTCCAACTTTTCTAATTCAGATGTCCCAAACATCTTTCACTTTCCATTTTAAGACAATACATAAGCTTCAATTAAAAACAAATTTTCCATCCTCCCGAATTTCAATTTTTCTAATAGTTCACTTTCAATTCAAGGGCATAAGTGTCAGTTTAATAAAAAAACAACCAATTTTTTTGTTATTATGTGCAGCGGGCAACACCGAAAAACTCCAGCGGAGCTAAGGGAGTTTACATTATAAATGTATATGGTGGTTTAGCTTAAATTATCATATCTATCTTTTGTTCCTTATTCTCTTTCTCAAATATTAGATGAAACATTAGTCCACTTGAATTTCAATTTTTCTAATAGTTCACTTTCAATTCAAGGGCATAAATGTCAATTTGATAAAAACAACCAAGTTTTTTTTAATTATGTGCAGCAGGCAACACTGGAAAACTCCAGCGGAGCTAAGGGAGTTTACACTAAAAATGTATATGGTGGTTTAGCTTTCATTATTCTCTTTCTCAAATAATAGATGAAAAATTAGTCATGATCAAACAAACAATACTTTTGAAGAGGTTTACCTAAAAAACACTAAAACACAAAACTTAGATCAAAATAAGACCCCTTATGTTTTTATCCCTGAGTTTGGCAATGTGAAATGCAACAATTTGGCATTATATATTGGCATTTCGCGGTGTTTGTTGGTAATATTTGGCATTATGTCATATTTAAGTATAAATACATTAAAGGCCCTATTTTGGTATATGAAGCATGTTTTAGTCCTAGTCGGGTGTTTCTCCCATACTTTTATTGGATCATTCGAAGTGGGGATTCTGATGGATTACCACTATTGAGTGCCCTTGGTTTGCACGTATCCAAAGCTCTCCACTTTCTTCCAACAAGCTAAACCTTTGTTTGTTGTCCTTTCTAACTGCCTAAAACATATAACGAGGAAAAAGAAATGAGTATTACTTTGCAAAATTTAAACCATAACCAAGAAGTATCAATTCCACCAACAAGTGACCCTAATGAAAAAATGCAATCTAAAACTTTTCAAGCTAGAACTACAATATTAATGAAGCAATCAAGCAATGTCCCTAGATAGAAGTAAATTTCCATTAAAATACCAAACTAGGAGTGCATTGTTTTTATCTCCTAAGTAAGAGTTAGACAGTGTAAATGATGGCAGTATGATGATAATATAGCAGTGTAAATAGTGATAATGGATGGTGGCAGTGTGGTGGCCCACCGATAAGAGCTCTGACAACCCACAGCGGCGCTCCGGTAACCAGTAACGAAGCTCTTGTGGTAGTGTGGCATAAGAGTGTGCACTATGGGAGTGACAATGTGACTCTTATTTAAGTAACAAAAAGGGTACTCTGTATTTTCATCATCTTTTATTCCTATTAAGGTACTTCTCCTATGTACTTCTCCCAGGCCTGATGAAAAAAAATAAAAAATGACCCTAGATAGAAGTAAATTGGCATCAAAATACCAAAATAGAAGTGCATTTTTTTATCCCCTAAATAGGAGGTTGGCAGTGTAAACAATGACAGTTTGATAATAATATAGCAGTATAAATAGTGATAGTATGATTGAGTGTGGTCACATTGCGGTGGTGGACCACCGGTTGACGGTGGTCAACGGTAGTGTCAGTTTCAACAAAACCATTGCTCATAAAATATTGAAGTAATGAAGTAAGTTGCACTGAGATGGGGATGGGGACTTATACGGGAACGAGGTCGGAAGCGTGAAAACCCCAATTTTTCCAAAATTTATAAAACAATTGAGGTATGAAGACGTCCCTAAGTACCTAACCACGAATGTTTTGGGGACGGGAAGCGGCACCTATTTGAAGAATCCGTGCAGCATAGCTAATGGCAGTGTTGGTTGTTAGCAGGCGGCGATGGTGGTGGTTTTTGGTACTTGTGTGTGGTCGTCAACGACGATAATTGTAGTATCGCATTGACGATGGTGGGTGTTTGTTGGGCGACGACAGTGGTTATCGGTGTGGCAAACAAAGGCTGGAGGAAGTAGATGGTGACAGTGACAACAGGTGGCTAGTAGTGGTGGTGATGGTTGGCGACATGAGGTGGGAATCAGCGATGGTAGTGGTGGTGGTCGGCAGAGGTGATGGTGCCATGCTGGTGTGTGGCAACTGCAGTGGTGGAGGCTAGCAATGGCGGTAGTGGGTGGCTGCAACCAATAGTGGTGGTGGTGTGGCCAATGATGGTGAGAGTGAAAGTAGTGGTGGAGGAGGGACAATGGTGGTGGGTGTCCAACTGTGGTGGTGGTTGTTGGCTAACACAAAAGTGGTGGTGGGGTGGTAGCGATGGTGATCCAAGAGGAGATATAGATATCAGAACTGCATGAATTTATATCTTCCAAATTTGAAATATATCAAAGCACTCTCATTTGGGACTTGGGAGGGTGGTGACATCGGGAGATATTAAATCATAATCCTATTTAGGCTTCACCAAATAGGCCTTTATAGTTTATATTATTAATAAGCAGAAACCCTCTATTTATACTAATCCCAACTCCCAAGGAATATATAAAACCCTCCATTGTCTGATTTTGTTTGTACAATTATACAATTTTTTGGCTCACAAAATACGTAGAATAACTTTAAAAGTCTGAACAATGTTATGCAATGCTTACATTGAGAAATACTTGTTATACAATGCTTATATAGAGAATTAAGAGAAATGTTGTAATGGATTTACACATTGATAGGAATTGGAAATCTATACCTAATGAGAAATATAGTTTCTAAATCTGGAATTGCTATATACTTCTATACTTCAACAATCAACACAAAAGAAAGAAAAAGAATGTTTATCATGCAAAACAAATGAGTGCTTAATGAAGTTACAGTCAACAAAATCATGTGTGTGCATGTAACACTCCACTAGACAAAACTAGAGGGCATAAAGGACTAAGGGAGGAAATGCATTTGCACTAACCTCTTTGATATCATCAACTGTGTGCAACCGCATTGGGATATTGGCAAATGTTTTCATATTCAGTTTCAATAGATCTTGGACCTTGACAAATCCATCACTCCTCATATTAAGTTTTAGCTCGGAAGCCATGTGACGAAGAATACGAGTTCTGAGGCCATTGCACCACAAATAAATAAATATGTTGCATTCATAAAAAGAGATTTGTGAAGATAATTGTTGCTTAGAGCAGAAAAATGAGGGATTTAATGGGCTTAATGACTAACTAAGACTCCCCGGTCGTGACATTTTTTTCTCATTTTTCTATGTGGCTTTTTCTAAAATTTACTTCCCTTCTAAGGAAATGTTTAAATAGTCAATACTGTTTCTCAGATTTCCAAATCAACAACAATCACACAATTCCACTTCTTTTAATAATCATTCATGCCAAGTCATTTTAAGAAGAAAAATATAGGATGACAGAATAATAGACCCAATTTCATTTTCATTAAATAATTGACCTAGGCCAAACCTTCAAAACAAATTAGCCTGAAGCCTTACAACACACCAACTCCATATGAGGCTTATTTTACTAATGTAAGTTCAATATGAATGATTATTTTCTTCATGCTTCAAAACTTAATTTTTTAATCAATTTTTTCTAAAATTAAATTTTTTTATACCTAAATTTTCTAAACATTCTGGATTCAACTGAACTTTTCTGAACTTTTTGGATTTCATCGAATTTTTCCGGATTGAAATTAAGTCACCTTAAGGATTTTATTAATAAACTTTGTTGAAAGAACAAGATCTGAGAATCACTAGAGGTGACGAGAACATGGCCTAGCCAACTAACCAAGTTTTGTGAAAGGTAATTGCCTCACAATCATCATTAAAGACAAAACTAGTTGTGAAAAGTTCAAAATTGAATCAATTCCAAACATCATTACGAAATCACAAATACTATTTCAAAGAAATGCATAACAAATACAAAGTTACCAGAGATTGAAGATTACATACAATAATCGGCCAAGAGCTTCAATTTTGTCATTTCCGGAGCCACCGCCATGACCTCTCCACCATTCATTGTTTTCCTTCATATCAAATCTTCTACCTCCACCACGGCTACTGCAATGCACATTAAGAAAAAACAATGATATGCAAATAAACTACAAGGAGAAATGCATGACATTTACTCCCTCCGTCCCATTTGATTTTTTACAGTTACTATTTAAGTGGTCAGACTATTCCCACTTTCTATACATGTTTTCATGTATCATTTAATAAAATAAATTAATCATGTCACCTCTTGTTTTGCAGATCTTTTTATGTAGTTTTTACTTTTATAAATTTTATTTTTTAATTTTATGCAAATTATTAAATCAATTGAATGAAACATAATTTCAACCACACATCATAGACCATATTGTAAACTATCAAGTTGGATGGAGATAATACTGTGTAGTAGACTGCAATAGAAACCCAAAAATTTAAAAGTTACTACAGTGTACCTGTGATTTGAAGGTGAAAATGCAGCATTAGAATATGATGCTGATTTTTGGTGTGAATCCATTGAAGTTAATGCACGGAAGCTGGGCAACAGAGGGAATGGTGTAGATGAAGTGCAAGGAAACTGAGGAAGTGCAAAGATGCAGCTTCGAAGAATTTGAAATTTACTGTAGTTTAGTAAAGAAGCATGCATAAGGGAGGGCGATGATGCTATGCTAACTCAAATAGTGGTGAGTGGAGCACATTCACTGCAAAGCAATACAACAGAGCCAGCATTGACTTTAGCAAAATTATGAGTCAAAGACCTAGGCAAAGGTACAGAATGGGACAATCAAAAAGGCAAAAATAGAACCTAGGCAAAAGATTATCCTAAGATGCAAAGAAAACTAAAGAATTGAATGGCAATGATACACAAAAAATAGAAAAAAGATCATCAAAACAAAATCAAATTTACTGGAGCAAGATAGACAAAGAAGAGACTGAAAAAATAATAAAAAGTAGACAGTCTTACAGCAAACTTAAACTAAAAACAAAACATAAAAACAAACTAAAAAAGACTGCACATCTGAACAAGCTATAAGTCTATAACACATTCATAACACGCTAAAAGACATACAAAAAACACTCCATTGATAAAATAAAGAAAAAGTTTATATAAAACAGTTTTGCAGTTTATATCCTATGATTGATTTCATTCATAAGGTTTGTAGTGCAAATGTTTTAATAGTACTTTGACCTTTCTGCAGCAACGGTGCTAAAATTTGTTAGTTGTGTCATAGTGCCTACAAACTAAACCTTACTTCTTATCTCTTTTTAGCATTATACTTATAAAATACTCCCTCCGTCCCAAAAAGTTTGTTACGTTTAGAAAAAACTGCGTCCCGTAAAGTCCGTTACATTTCTATTAAAAAACCACTTTTAACCCTTACTTTTTCATACCCTACCTATCACATCATACCTTTTTTCTAATAATCTACCCATCACATCCTACTTTTACCCATCACATCAAGAGTATTTTTGGAAAGTCAATACCAAAATATCCCTCCCTTAATTTCCCAAAAAGTCAAACCATCCCATTCTTTTTGGGACGGAGGGAGTATATATTTAGGGTAAGGGTCGATCGTATGAGGAAAGATTTACTTTTTATATCAAAATCAGTTTACTTTATGTCATTTTTATTTAATGCAATACTTATTACTAGTAAATATTACGGAGTAAAATCGACTACTAATAAAATTTATAATAAATAACCTATAGCATAAATAAATAAAACTAATGCTTAACTTGCAAATTAATATATAGAACTTATCATATGACTTTTAAAAAAACACATAGCATTTTTGTTTTTTTTTTCTTTTTTTTGGGTGGTGGGGGGGTGTTGGAAATGAAGTGTAAAAAGATAAATTACTAGTCTGTAATATATAATAGACCTACAACCCCAACAACGTTAAGAATTAGAAAATCAACCAAATGAATAATCAAGAACAAAACTCCACCTAAAAGCCCAAACATTAAGACAGAACAAACAAACCAGCAAACATTCCACTTTAATATAAGACTTGCACAATAGCTTAACCAAAACTCTTTTCAGACTTACATAATAGTTACCTTTTGATAAAAACTAGCAAAATTATTATCAAAACTATGTTTGCAATTGCGTATTCTGGTGTTGAGGCATTTTTATTTCAAGGCATATTGTCTCAAGGCGCATTGAGGCATAAGCCTCAATTTAAGTTTAAAAATGCCCATATAACATTTTTAAAACTGGAGATAAAACCTTATTAATAACATAATTAGTCCATAAGCATCAAAAAAGTAAAAGATCTCAAACACAACAAAGTCTAACATTAGGCAATACAAAATTGTGGTCGAATGCGATGAACTAAAATTGATGTGTGCAAAAAAAGTACATCATATAGGCAAAAAAAGTGCCATATTATCATGCTAGGTCCAACATTTAGGCAATTTCTCATGAAATCTAAAAATAATAATACTATGCAAAAACACAGCATAGAAGAAAAACTACAGCAATTAAAAATCCTGATCCACAGTTGCAAAATGGGAAAAAAATAAAAGAAGCAGCATATTATCTCAGATTTTTTAGAGAGGCAATACATTAGATTGAGTTTAGCAATAAAAAAAATGCTGAAACTCAATAGTAAAACAAAAAAATCCGCAGACAAAAACTTTTATCAAAACGCAGCAAAGACAGAAGCGTGGCAGAGGCTCTAAGATTAGCAAGTAGACCACAAAACTGATGGAGATAGATGGCAAGTATTGAAGATGTCTTTCTGAATATAAGGTTATTGCGTAAGGTTGGGAAAGATAAATACATTTAATTTCGTTAATTGACTAATTTAACATTAAACTAAAAAAATCTGAAACAAAATTGTTTATGCCTCCATCTTGCCCCAGTGGTCTTTCGCAATCACTATAAACAAATATCATGTATGGCAAGATACGCCTTGATGTGCAATTTTTCAGGAAATGTTTAAAGGCGCATGGCAGGTTTACACCTCACAATTTAGAACATTGACTCAAATGATGGTTTAAGCTGAAGAAGGGTTCCACCAAGGACCTGCGGTCCTTCCCTGTTTTCAGATTCATATTAGCTTATGTTACGTCCAGCCTTAACTCTAACACCTACTACCCACATCAATCTACAGACCAGACCTCAAGTTTAACTAAGATCTTTGAAAAACAACACTTACCAACCTAGCAGTAAACTAGGTTTATTTAACTGAGTCAGTTTAAAAATACTACGAGTACTTGATAAACACTGGATTGTGCCAGCTAAATACTCACTAGGTGACACTTACGTGTAAAAAAATCACAGCAATTATTGTACTCTTGGATTCTTAAACTGTCAACTTGAATTATATTTAAGTGGCCATCCTAAATTAAGCCGAAAAGAATTAAAAACCAACAAAATCACAGTTTTTTTACATTGTTAGTTTTAATTGACAGCAGCTCGAGAGTAAAGATACTTCCAGTTCAATGAAATGGTTCATAAGAACATCAAACTTGTTGGGTTATTCGGTGAAGGCTTTAGAGCTGTGGGCTTTAAGCCTGGTCGGCTAAAGGGAAGAAACATGGGGGGCCGGTTTTAGTTATTAATTAAAGGGCCCATTAGTTGTTTCTTGTTTAGCAAGTTGTTAACCCTAGTTTATATCTTATAAATACCCAATCATGTAACTATAATCTGTGAGCACCTAATAAAAGATAAACCCTAGTTGCAACCCGTGGAGTAGGTTACTGACCGAACCACGTTAAATCTCGTGTTCTTATTTCTGCTATTTGTGTGTGTGTGTGTGTGTTTGTTCGCTTCCGCTTGACCGCCTCTGATCTCTGATTCCTAACAAGTGGTATCAGAGCCTTGGTTCGGTTAAACACACGGTTACACAGGATCAATCGCAGGAAGAAGGCTGTTCAGGATCGTTTTGCTGCTGTTTTGCTGCCGCGGTTAAGGGGCTGGTTCAGATCTGATCAGGGGCTGGTTCGGATCTGATCAGAGGCTGGTTCGGATCTGGTCAGGGGCTGTTTGGTCGGTTTTAGGTGAACTTGGCGATTAGGGTTTCTGGTTTTGGACCTGGTACTCGTTGGTTCGGGTTCTTTGTTTTAG